AGTCAATCCAAAATGAAACTAATGTTGAGTATTTTAATACAAACAATTCCGACGGAAAGAAAGAATATTGTTCTTAGAAAAACAAGTACACAATAGAGATCTATCCATAATATTAGATAAAATTATTTAAATTGAAAATAAATATTAAAAGAATATATAATAGAACAAAAATATTAATATAAATTAATTGATAATTGCTATAGTTAAAAATTTATCAAATATATATATCTACTTTTAAATAAAAGGCAAACATATTAAAATATCTGTAGCACCATCATAAAATAGAATAAAACTTCATTAATAATTGATAATCGTCTTACAAAATTTAGTTAATCCCAACGTAAATCAGTTTGAGTCTTTTACAACAAACAAGTTCAACGGTATAGAAGAATAAATAATCTATTACTTTAAAAAACATTTTTGTCTCCCTTCCTAAGATGTCATGTTATTAAATAAGATAAGAAAAAAATTACCACGTGTATTAAGGAAAACTTATTATAATTTAGTTTTTGTTAGATATCTTACTGGGCTCCATATTTTGTTTTTGGTTTATATTTTTACCGGTTTGTGTTGAAATAATAAGATGTAGATAATATTTTTTTAAAAACATTATGTTAATGCTATTTTCATTAATACTTTATGAAATGTTTAAAATAAATTTATACATTAACTTATTTATCCGCCCGCCCGTAGGGCGGATTTACCCTAGTATTATGTATAAATTTTTGTGTAAAACGATGGATTTTAACCTAGTTTTAAATTTTTTAAAAAAAAGGAAAAAAAATACTAGTTTTTAAATTATACAAGGTGAATATTCGCAGTAGTTACCTCGAAAGACTAACGAATTTACCCGTACGACAGAAAGAAAGATAAATACTGAAGATAGACGTGGACGGAAACTTCGACCAACCATCCATTTTTCCACTATAAAGGACTACATAAATTAATCGAAGTTAATTGTTAATTAACTTTTAGGTTTCTCCCAAATCGTTTCTAATAGGATTAGCGTGCTTCACAAAGAAAACTGATTATTCTCTTTAATGATTTGATAGAGAAACAATAAAAACAAAACACAACAGAGAAGAAAGTGAAATTGCTTTCGAGCAAAAAGGGGGCAAGCAACTTTCTTAAAGGCAGAACTCAACCAAGATTCAATCCGCCATTGAAAGCTCCTTCACTCTCCCAAATTCTTCATCTTCTTCCTCCTCAAGTTAAAGGTAAAAACACTCTTCCTCGTGTTAATACTGTTTCGACCAAATGTCGGTAGATTTAGTCTCGAACATATGTTTTGGTTTCTGTCTTTTTTAATCTGATTAGAACTAATTGGAGAAGGGTCGTAGTTTTTTTGTCTAAATCTTGGGGTTAAGAGAGTATTATTGCAGCAAAGTTTTGGACTTTATCTTAATCTAGAAGAAGTCACTTATTGTTTGCCTAGTCTTTTTGAGGAAACTTACGTGGCGTGTTTGAATCTCCCTTTCTTTATATAGAAACACCACCAACCTTTGATTTCGTAAGCGGTGAGAAACTTCTAACATCTATCCTCCCAAGATCAAAAAGCTTTCACCTTTTGTTTAAAACAATTAGTAAACCGTCATATTTTTTTTAACAAAGTTTCTGCATTTTCTTGTGGGTTTTCATGAATATACTCTAAATGTTAAACCTTTATGAATCCTTTTGTTTTGTAGGTTACTAAATTGACTTGAGAAGAAGGTTTTGATTGTGAATCAGAAGAGTTTTTGATGGGGACAGGGAATTCAAAGGAGAGCTGGAAACAGGAGTCTTCATCATCATTTAGGTCAGCTTCTGCTTCATCACCATCTTCATCTTCATGGGCTTCTCATCAAAGCTATCCTCAGTATGGTTCAGAAAGCTATAACTATCCTCCTACACCTTCTTCATATGCTCCTCCTCCTGAGTATGTGCAGCCTCCTACACCTTCTTATAGCACTCAGCCTTACTCTCAGCCGCCTTCTCATAGTTATGGCAATGATAATAAGAAGAGGTTGGAGCGGAAGTATTCTAAAATTTCTGATGATTACTCCTCTTTGGAGCAGGTGAGCTAAATCTCTAGTTTGGTTCTTATGGCTTTGGCAGAAAGAAAAAAAGCTTCACATTGTTGTTCTGTTTCATTTAGGTGACTGAGGCTCTTGCTCGTGCGGGTTTAGAATCTTCAAATCTCATTGTTGGTATTGATTTCACTAAGAGCAATGAGTGGACAGGTCGGTGAGATTCAAGAATCAAGATTCTGTCTTTAGTGTAATCCAGCAAATGATTGTGTGTTGTTGCTGATAACAGGAGCTAGGTCCTTCAATAGGAAAAGCTTACATTTCATAGGCAATAATCCCAACCCTTATGAACAAGCTATAACCATCATAGGACGAACCTTAGCTGCCTTTGACGAGGACAACTTGATTCCATGTTATGGTTTTGGAGATGCGTCAACACATGATCAAGATGTGTTTAGTTTCAATCCAGAAGATAGGTTCTGTAATGGGTTTGAAGAAGTGCTTGGTCGGTATAAAGAGATTGTGCCTCAGCTTAAGCTCGCAGGTTTCTTTCTTTGTCCTTAAATTTAGCTGCAGTTTCATCAAATGTTAATAAAGATCTTATGAAAAATCTTGAATGTGTTTTAGGTCCAACCTCATTTGCTCCAATCATTGATATGGCAATGACCATTGTTGAACAGAGTGGTGGACAGTACCACGTCTTAGTGATAATAGCAGATGGCCAGGTACGTACAATACTGGTGGGATCCTCTGTTTCTGTGTTAAGAAAAGAATCCTTAACTTGAGTGTTTTTTGCTTCCAGGTTACAAGAAGCGTTGACACTGAAAATGGACAGTTAAGTCCGCAAGAACAGAAGACTGTGGAGGCTATCGTGCAAGCTAGGTTGGAACATTGTCTGATCTTCTATCTCTCTTTGTTAGCTGATTATAAAATTTGATTTTTTTTGTCTATGGGTAGTAAGCTGCCTCTATCAATAGTCTTAGTGGGGGTTGGAGATGGACCATGGGATATGATGAGGGAGTTTGACGATAATATTCCATCCAGAGCTTTTGATAACTTCCAAGTAAGTTATTTATAAGCTAAAAACATCAAAGGTGAAAGATGGTTTTCGATCATTTGATATGAATTTTCTGTTTCTAGTTTGTCAACTTCACAGAGATCATGTCAAAGAACAAAGCTCAATCCTTGAAGGAAACAGAGTTTGCCCTTTCTGCTCTCATGGAGATTCCTCAACAATACAAGGCCACATTAGAGCTTAACCTTTTAGGGTAAAATCTCAGAACAAAATCTTTATCAACTTGGCTTCAATCTTAACCCATTTTCTTGCTTAACAGGAGAAGAAATGGGAATATACCTGAACGATTCCCTCTTCCACCTCCAATGCTTGGTGGATCATCTTCTTACAACAAGCTAAAGGTTAATCGTGTTCCAAGTTTCAAACCGAGTGTGCCTCCTTATCCATCTGAAAGCTATCCCGTAAGGTCTAGTCCTGCACCACCAGCTACAACCTCTGCTTCTGATAACCAGGTATGTTTCCTAAATCTGTTTGAATAGTTGTTTTAGAAAGTTTTAATGCTCGTGGTTCTCTGTAACAGCTATGTCCGATATGTCTGAGCAACCCTAAAGACATGGCCTTTGGTTGTGGCCATCAGGTAAACCTAGCTACAACATACAGTTTTTGATCTTCTTGTTTTAGTCACTCAGATTGAAACATGGAACTAACTTGGTTTCTGTTTGGAATACAAAGACTTGTTGCGAGTGTGGACCGGATCTTGAAACGTGTCCGATTTGCCGTGCACCTATCCAGACAAGAATAAAGCTCTACTAACAAGCAGGCGGCCAAGATGGACTACACTTCTCTCCTGTGTTAGTTTTGTTCGTTGATTCACTTTTCTAACTTTGATCTTGTTCCAAAATCTTTCCGTTCTTTCTTTCTTTGGAATTTAAATGTTGCTATCAATGCGTGATCCTTTTACTCCATTTTTCTGCTCCTTTGATGATTTTTTTTCTAATAAAATTGAGTCCTAAAATTGGCTAAGCAGAGTAGACACTATTCACCTAATTCCTTTTCTGTCAGTTAATGAGCTCCTTCATTTTTAGCTAAATAGTGAAAAAACCTCATGGTGTCCTAAAAAAGTGGAACTATAAATCAAACCAACACAAACCAAACCAAACCAGCTAACCTTGTACGTTTCTGCGTAACAAAGAAAGTCATAGAGGTTGGCCTTCGTTAGTTTGTATGTGGAATGGGGAAGCTTCTGACTTAAGAAAACAACCGAGAGAGATTAGGGCACTGTGTTAGCCGAACTTAATCTACAGACTACAGTATAACTGTATAAGCTACACAGATTTGCAAACCGAGCCTATAAAATATCGAGAACTAAACAAATGTTGTTTGTTCTCTCTGTATATAACTAAATCAAAGAGCTGTTTTGTTTTGTAACTCTGTCAAAACATTAACAAATGTCTAAGCTGCAAAAGATTAGCAATGAAGTGTGTGTGAGAGACATGTATATCTTCGCTGCAGCCAAAGTATTGGGTGTTAATTTGAGCTTTAGTTCAATAGCACAAAAATTTATTTATGATTAAAAGCCCAGATGTATTTTGAGGTCCTGATTCTAATTTTCTGAATCAATCAAAGAAAAGTCACAAACTCAATCTAATAAGTTGCTGATATTAGTACATCCAATAAATAGTTTGTGTCAATAATTAAAAATAAGAGAATTGGTTGGTGTTTTTCTTTAGAATCTATTATTAGTCATACTACTTTAATATAATTTATAAAAATAGATTACAAGGTTCATTTCTCCTCTCATATCCATCAATTTTCCTAAATTTTCTCATCTTCAAAAACATTTAAATTGACTTCACCCATGTCTTATTCTTGCATCCTAAAGCTTCTGCAGTAATAAAATAAAATAAAATAATAAACTAACAAATACTGCTCTAGCTTTGGAATATATTCCATTAAACCTCAACAAAAACCTATAAAAAATGGCACGTCAATTTGTCATATTGGCCCTATTGGCTTTAACCGTGGCCACAGTTTTCGCTGCTGACGCTCCCTCAGCCTCTCCCAAAAAATCTCCATCACCCACCACTGCCCCAACCAAGGCTCCCGCCGCCCCAACCAAAGCTCCGGCCGCCGCACCTAAGTCAACCTCAGCCTCATCTCCCCAAGCATCTTCCCCTGCTGCAGAAGGACCCGCTGCTGAGGATGACTACTCCGCTGTTAGTCCTAGTGATGCTGGCGAGGGACCCACCGGCTCCTCTCCACCGGCTCCTACACCCGATAGCACATCCGCTGATGGACCAAGTGAGGCAGAGGCACCAAGTAGCAGCGCTGTGACCACCGTCAAGCTCTCTGTTGGTGGCACTTTCATTACTGCCGTCAGCTTCTTTTTGTTTTCTCTTTAAGTTAAAAGCAGTCCACATTTTGTTTTATAAAGGGATTGTCATACAATTTTGGGGGTGAGGTCGTAAATGTATTTTATAATATACGTTTATACATCGAGGTTAATTCGAGTTAATATAAAATTTAAAATTTTATTATGGAATTTTGTTTTATAAAGTTAAATGTTGGGGAATGGCGGATGTATGAATTTTGATCTTCTGTCGCTTAATTTAGTACTACATCGATATTTCAACACATGAGAACAAAGTCTGGTTGATCAAAAAAAAAAAAGAAAAAAGTTTTAAATGGACAATTAGTCAACATAGGTAGGACCCACAAAAATTGCTCTTTTTCACGTATGTTTCGCTCTGATTGGTTCTCTTTCTCTCTTTCTGACATGATTTAATTGATTCCTACAATGTCTTGCCAAAGTCAGGTCTCTTAAAGTTTTCAGAAAAAATAGTAACTCCAAAGTTTGTCTATGTTTTCTTTTTTATTGATTTAATAAACTACCCATATTTGAAGCTTAAATTAGTAAAATACCATTGATTAGACATAAAGGACACTGACACAACCATTTTGCAAGGAAATGCCGAGAATGTCTTTTCTCTTTCCTCTCATTAACACGAAGCGTAAAAACATTTGTTAACATATAACACTTCTGTTAACGTCTACAATATATGTTTACAGCCAACACATTTATTACCGCGAAACATAAAAATAATTATTAACAGTTAACACTTCTGTTAGCGTCTATAATATTTGTTAACAGCGAACACATTTATTAACGGGAAGCGTAAAATTAATTGTTAACAACTAGCACTTCTGTTAACATCTACAATATTTGTTAACCGCTAACACGACGTCGAATCTAAAACCCAGAAAAAATGATATCATCAAAAAATTGAGGACTCAAAGCCACTTATGAAAAAAATAATGAAATTTAAAATTTAATTGTATATAGAATGATAGTGATTTGTAAAATAATTAGGGATTGGAGAGAAGAAAAAAAAGGTCAAAAAATTGAGAATTCAAAGCCACTTATGAAAAAATAATGAAATTTAAAATTTAATTGTATATAGAATGATAGAGATTTGTAAAATAATTAGGGATTGAAGAGAGAGAAAAAAAGGAAGAGATGTCAAAGAGAGGAGAGAAAATATAGAGAAGGGCAAAATAGTCTAAAGGAAAGTGATTGTCATATCATGGGTAAGTCTCTAATTATAGGTGTCAAATAAGGCACTTTAGCCAATTATTTCTTTTTTTTTCTTCACCTGTAATACTAGTCAAATCTACTAACCAGGATTTTGAAATGTAATATCCCAAACTAACAAAAGAAAAATGGCTTTCTAGTTTCTAGAAATAGCATCTTGAAAAATATCCTGTATATATTTTTCTTGTTTAAGTAACTGTATAACACGATTGCTATGTGCACTATCATTTTCTCTTTATATGTGAAGATAAATAAATTCTATGTTATTATAATTGTATCGAGAACTTTAGCTTTGATGCGACATCGTAAAAGAAATCACTAGTCTATCACGTTAAAATATCATTTAACCTTGAGTATTTTATTTACTAGAGTATGAACAACATTTTGTAAAGTGAAACCCCTTTCTCTTAATGCACTCAAGTTTGTATGAACTAATTTATGTTCGTGTAAGTTGTAACCTTACATAATCGAAGCCTAAAGCAAAGGTACAAGACAAAATAACCATATAAAAAATTTATTTCACGTGAGTGCTATCAAAAACGAAAAACTAGATATACGAAAGGTGTCATCAAATGATAGTAATGGTTCAGGATGGTACTGTACTAACATAATCACTTCATTTGTCATCGCTATCGGTGGTAGGATTATTCCTATTTACGAAAGTAATTATCGTTGATGCCTCCAAAAAATAATGCTCACATTAGCATATAATAATACCTTTAGAACAACAAAAGGCTATCTTAAAAAAGTTAAAAAAGAAAATGGAGTTACTAACACAGTTCAATATTACACTACCTTTATCCAATGAGTGGTCGACACGCGTCAAAGGGTACTAACACGGTCAGCTTTCCTTTTCTCTCCACCTACATACTTTACTCTAGACAGAGAGAACTAAAAAAATAACAGAGACAGAAGAGAGAGAGAGAGATCGGAGATGAGTGGCAAACTCAGCCCTGTCGGCGAAGAAAAACAGAGTACGAGGACAACATCGAAGAGGATCAAGAACAAGAAGCAGATGGAATCAACTCTCACGGACAAGTCTCCTTCAAATCTTGAAACGTCTCATAAGTTCAGAACAAAGACAAAGAAACCCAAATTTCTCAGTCTCAAGCTTGAACTCAACACTACTGGAACCACTAAGAGCAAGAATATAGGAGCTGATACGACGCCGTTTAAAGAGAAGAACATAGCTGAGAATGTGGGAGGAGAGAAAGAAGAAGAACTATTCGCCACGGACAGCACAATCTCTTCGATCCACGACCTCCTCCCTTCCTCCACCTCCGCCGCCGTCGACGGAGGGAGGAACCTGTCATCGTACGGTTCATCTTCTTCTTCTTCTTCGCTTATAAGGACTGCGTTGAAGAAAGGAGCGAGCGAGGAGGAGCGGTGGGTGAGTTATTCGGAGGTGATGAGTCGGAGATGTTGCGGCGGAGATGGAAAAGAAGGACGGTGTTCGCTTGCTCTGAAGCTTGACTATGAGCAGATCATGGAGGCTTGGTTGGATAAAGGTGCTCTTTATATCGACGGAGAACCGCCGCAGATGGTGCCGGACTTGCATGCTTCTGCTGACGTAAGCAAACATTTTTTTTTTAAAAGAAACAAAAAAGTAAACATCTCTTTTAGGTTATTTTTTTTGTCGTAATCAATGCTTAAAGTAACTAATTACCGGTGAGTTATTAATGAGTCCACGAGTACTTTCTTGAATCTTTAATAATGATAACCTAATTCTTTTTTTTTTCAAATCTAATTCTTTTATTACTTTTGCAAAGTTGTCATAATATTATCGCATTGACTATAAATAATTAAAAGTAACGGAAGAGTAATTATCTTTCTAAGACTATAAAACAGTAAAATGTCTGGTATCTATCTATACTATTAAAGATGAAGTACAAAAATAAAGTGTTTGGAAACATAAATAAAAAGATTTTAAAAGTTTGATTGGAAACATGGATAGCATACAAATTTAATGGACTTATTTATTATACTAAAGATTATTGCGGTCCAAGGTACCATTATTATTGTTTTTGGATTTTCTATCATTGATATTACTTTATTTCTACAAATTATTTATACATATATGTATTCATGTTTTAAATGTATTTAGAATAAATCAAGAATAATATATATTTTATTTAGGGAGAATTTCAATTATACCACTTTGGTGGTACCACTTTTCATGTTTACCATCAATAAATGAACATTTTCAAAAATACACATTTTATTAAAGAATAAAAGACTCTTATATCCTTGTTCTTTATATATATACATAAAATAAATATTAAATAAAATATTAACCATAAACCCTAAAACATCAATTCTAAACTCTAGACCCTAAAAAGTAAATCCTAAACCCTAAAATATCAATACTAAACACAAAACCCAAAACCCTAAATTCTAATAGTATTTTGACTATTAAAATTTTAGTGATAAAGTTGGTTAGTGTAAAGTTGAAAAGTGGTATCTTGAAAGTGTTATTTCTGGCAATTTTCCTTTTATTTATATAATTTATATTGACTATTCTTATAAGTTTTTAACAGTGATATAATAGCCTTCCAATTCTTCATTAAAAAATTAAATTAAAAATTTGACTAAATTATTTAGTGTATATAACTTTACATCAAATTTAGTCAAAAAACTTTATAAACTATTACTAAAATGTTTACGGGTCACAACATTTTACGACGCCCCTGTTACACAATACAATAATGAAATACAATGTTTAAACAATATACTATTACTTAGTAAAATTGAAACCATTAAATTGTAACTTTGAAATGTTATCTATACCATAAAAACAAAGACCCGTCCAGTCGGACGGGTTATGATCTAGTTTTTTTTTAAACTAAAGTCTGATTTTTTTTATTGTTGTTATTAACTAAGGTAGTTCAAAGATTTGATACTAGGCAATTGTTTTTTTTGTGAGTGGTTTAGGTGTTTACCGGCGGCAGAGAGGCATGGAGTTTATGGACGGTGCCGGAGATGGAGACAACGGAGAGGCTATGGAGAGAGCACAGAGAAGCTAGTTTGCTACGGTATAAAGAGAAGCGGCAAAGCCGTTTTTTTGCTAAGCGGATTCGATACCAAGTTCGTAAACTCAACGCTGAGAAACGTCCTCGTATTAAAGTAAGTAGTACCTTTTTTTCTTTTCGAAAAATTTACACACATACACGACTGGATATAGTCTGTATTTAAATTTGGGTTGGCTTTACTAATACAAACTATTAGGCTACATGTAAATGATTAAATTCACTGAGAGCTAGAACTGGCTTTGATTCGTGGAGCTGCTGTTCTAATTATGGTTTTTGGTTCATCTCTTTTCAGGGCCGGTTTGTGAAGAGAGACGTTGTAATAGACCACTAAAAACTGGTAGTGATAAGTTTCTTAGCCTTCCAACTTAAAATCAATTAGCAATTAGTGGATTGGCCCAAGTCCTTTATACATTACTCATGTTCCATTCATATTTTCAATGTGGGATCTTTATCCCAACACCCTCCCTCGAAATAATGGTGGGTCTAACCATTAATTTCGCAGAATCCATCATACCCCTACTGAGACAATGCTTTTTCTTTTAACAATCTCGATAGAATTGAGCATTTTCTGGGCCATCAGCTAATGGGTTGATCGGGCCACTTTCCGGGTTGGGTTAATGGGTCAGGATATGGGCCCGCTCTGATACCATGATAAATTTCTTAGGCTTCCAACTTAAAACCAATTAGCAATTAGTGGATTGGCCCAAGTCCCTTATATATTACTCATGTTCCATTCATATTTCCAATGTGAGATCTTTATCCCAACAGGTAGTTTAGACTTGCGGTTTGTGGACATATACCTCTAGTCTTTTCGAAATAACCAAGCGGCGGAATGTTTGGTACAATATTAGAGACATTAGGGTCGTACCGGATTATACCGCGATATGAAATGTGTTGGTTTGTATAGGGGTCTTGCCCAGCTCGCTTTTGCAGAAGTTTCGGTTTGTTTTGCCCGTTTTAGTTCCATTATTAGAAGACTTTTAACTAATTTGTACCAAATCATCTGAACAAATAATAATAATCAAAGTGGATATTGACGAATAGAGATAATGGAGTGCATCAAAATTTTGTTTTATCGTTTTTGAGCATGTAATTAAATAACTCAGTTAAATAAAACAAACTAAAAGTACGAAACTCTCTGAAAACCTTAAAATATATTACAACATGTAAACATTAGTTTTACAAATTCGAAATAGTAGTTTATATAATCAATGTAGTGCATTATTATGCATGACAATCCTATCTAGTAACTATTCTTGGCTGCTTTTATATTTTACCAAGAAGTTAACAGACAACTAACTTTTTTTTTGACTGAACAAACAACTAATTTAGCAAACTCTTTAGTTGTTTTATACGATTATAGTGGGACAAGAAGTGGGAATGTTGTTATGATCAAGAAGCCTTTTCTCTTTGAAGGCAGGATCTTCTAACAACAGCACTTTGTCTTTATCTCCAACACCAACCATGTGTAGATATTCATCATCCTCTCTTTCTTTCCCTTTGAATAATAGCCTTTGTTGTTTTGGCTCCAAACCGGTAAGCAGTGATAGTACCATCTTAAGCTCTCCTGTAAATCCATAAGTATAAATCAATCACAAATAGTTGTATAAGTTCTACTTATACCATCTTAAATTTGCATGTAATCTAAATTAATCTTAATATTTAATTAAACTCTGTTTATTATACCAAATTAGTTGTTAAATAAGTGTTGAGAGATGAGAAATTTACCAAAAGTGGAGGTTGCTTCAATGGAGAGATCATGGAAATTAGCAAAAGTAGAGACTCTAATGGAGATCAAGTCTTCGCCAATGCTCTCTTGTCTTTTTTGCACAAGCATACCTCCTGGTCTAAGTTCCCATTTGATTTCGTTATTGCAGCAGCTACTATTGTTGTTGCTATTACCAAATCCCTTTTGTTGTTGATCTTCTTGTATGACTTTGTTGTTGGTTCTTTTACCGAAACCAAATCTAATCCCAAACCTCTTAGACTTGAACTTCATCATCTCTTCTACTTTGATTCTGGTGTTTTAAAAATATTTTCTTCTGTTTTCTCTCGAGCTTTGGGATATACATAAACATGGAAACGTTTAGGTGGGTTTTATAGGAGACAAGAGGTTAAGAAAAGGACGAAAGCACATACATACTTGCATGTGCAAGCTGCTTTTTACAATTTACAAGTCTTCCTCTTTTAATAATGTTTGTAAAGTAATAATGTGGAGTCACTTAATAAACAATAAGAAAAGCCATGAATATGTGCCGACAATGGATAAATCAGATTTAAATAGGATTTGATCGAAACTGTTAAGAGAAGAGCTTCAGGCACATGGGCGATGGTTCGACTGATAATAAGCAATGTTTCCTTGATTGAAGGATCAGAACACGAAAAAAATGCAAACAAAATAACAATCAAAACTCTATGATTGCTTCTTGATTAGTATTTATTTATGGGTAGGCTGCATTTTAATTAGAAGTTTCGGCGGACCGACCTTGTTGTATTAAAGTTTATCTTCATTTTGACAAATTAATTTCATAATTACTTTTTGTTTGTCAATGCTATTTGTATATTGGATGTATAAAAGCATACCAAGCCTTTCAATGATAGGGAAAAATAAAAGAAAAAGCATAGAAAAAGTGGTGATTATAGTTGTTTAATCATATAACTAATCAAGTAAAATATACAGTAGTTTAACTTGTTCTTTAGTGCCAGTCAAGGTGATTACGATTCTCGGGTGAACTTGAGTTTGGTGTAAACATCGCCATGTGGTAGGACCGTTTTGGAAAATTAATAATGCATGAAAGCCTTTTGAAATAACGACAATTTCAAAAATTATAAAAGATAGCTTACTGATTAGCTCGAAGTTCATAAGAAAAATATCATTGTTTGTATATAAAATACGATGAATCTAAAATAAAATCTTCGACACGATATATCTTATATGTATGAGATCAAACAACTCAGCTTATAACTACATAAGATTTTCCAAATCTGATCATGTAATAGTTATTAGGGGAATATCCAGTTTACTGCAAAATATAATCAATCTTGAACTGAAATCCACAACCGATTTGCATCCTGTTTATTGCTTGCATGAAAGCAGAATCAAAATCTTAACTCGAAGTTTACTGTTGCAAGTACATTAATGACTATTATATTAAAAAGTTCGGAGTAGTTACTAACTATATCATTTTCCTCACCAGATTAGTACGTAATCGTCTCCTTGTACGTTTCGATAGATTTATCTCCGATCATATTATAGATCTCCAACATAAAACCAAACTATACATGCACATGTATGTAATCAAGATCAAATATTTGATTATTAATGGACAAAGGTGATATGACACATCAACATGTAGTAGCTAAAAGACGTTATCTGAGATATGGGGAATCCACATTTATATTTCTCAGACCCACCAACATGGTTGCCTGCACATAATACATACTTTACATTAAAAAAATAATATATATACATAATATGGATATTTATCTATGCACACAATAATGTGTTTGTGGAAGTTTATACATGTATTATTTATATGTCTATGTGCATGGGCCAGACATGTTTATTGGATTAATACAGAGGAACAGATATACTTTGTGCCCAACCCTTAAGTATGGTCTTCAATGAATTTATGTCATGTACTCCTTGGGAACTCCTAATCCTATTTCTGCTTGCAAGAATTCAAGAAAGAAAAGCACTTAAAAATCCTTCTAGCTTATTATCACATTCACAAAATTAATAAATCAAAACTAAACACATGTTTATGCACAAATATTAGATAAATATTATTTTTATCTATTAATAAATCAAAACTAGACGTAAATAATGCGGAAAAAACAATTTTTATAAAATAAAAAAAATAGATAAAAATAATTTCATAATTCTAAAAGGCCCGTCTTCTACAAAAATTCTAAAAGGCCCAAAAAGCGTTTTTGGGCCAAGTTATGGACTTGAATGAAAACAAAAAGCTCAAAACGCCACCGTTTCAATGATTCTCTCTTGTCAGCAGTTGAAGCTTACCCGCTCATAGAAATTGAATGGCTACAAGCGCACCACACCATCACTAAACCAAGAGAGACAACTAAACCATCTCTCTGGCGTGGCTGCTCCGTCTACGAGATTATGCTTCATTGAGAAGCAGTGGCATGAATATATATATCGAGCGATAGTATAATGATTGTTGTGTGAAGGTGTAAGCATCTGTGTTTTGTTACTGTATCGAAAAGGTGCGACCTTGAGGAGTTTCAGTTCATGGGTTCTTATTGGTTGATCTAGCTGGTGAACTCTTGATGTTAAAGATGCAAGCTTTAAGCTTTGGGCCACTAAAGTTTGGTCTTTTGGTTGGATCAAGATTGGATTTTGAGTTGGATTGTTCTTGTTTTGTAGTTAGCCGTAAGTTTAGTAAGAGACATTGTTTTGCTAAACAGTCTTGCTTTGGTAGTAGTAGTCATACCTCAAAAGTTCTGTTTCTGTGTGAGCCAAAGAGAAGGTTGTTGAGATCATCTGTTGGAGTAGGATGGGCCACAGAGCAACGAGAAGAGGAAGATTCAACACAAGCTGTAACCAAATCAAGAGTTAATGTAAGAGAATTGGCACATAGTTTAAGAGCTGCCAAGACTGCTGATGATGTAGATGTTGTTCTCAAGGAGAAAGGAGAGTTGCCTCTTCAAGTCTTTTGTGCTATGATAAGAGGTTTTGGGAAAGACAAGAGACTTAAGCCTGCAATGGCTGTAGTGGAATGGCTTAAGAGGAAGAAGAGTGAGTCAAGGCCAAACCTTTTCATATACAATAGTCTTTTGAGTGCGGTGAAAGACTCAAGTGGGTTTGGTGAAACAGAGAAGATACTTAGTGATATGGAGGAAGAAGGTATTGTTCCAAACGTTGTCACTTACAATACTCTGATGGCTATTTACATGGAGGAAGGAGAGTTTCAAAAGTCCCTTGAGGTTCTTGATTTAGTTAAAGAGAAAGGCTTTGAGCCTTCTCCGGTTACTTACTCAACGGCTTTGTCGGTTTACAGAAGAATGGAAGATGGAATGGGAGCTCTTGAGTTCTTTGTTGAGCTGAGAGAGAGATACTCTAAGAGGGAGATAGGGAACGACACTGATCATGATTGGGAACTTGAGTTTGTGAAGCTTGAGAATTTTATTGGTAGAATCTGCCACCAGGTGATGAGATGTTGGTTGGTGAGAGATGAGAACTTGACTACTAAAGTGTTAAAGCTTTTGAATGCAATGGACAATGCAGGGGTTAGACCGAGTAGGGAAGAGCATGAGAGGCTTATATGGGCGTGTACACGTGAAGAACATCACGTTGTTGGTAAAGAGTTGTACAAAAGAATCAGAGAGAGGTTTCCTGAGATAAGTTTATCTGTCTGCAACCACTTGATTTGGCTGATGGGTAAGGCTAAGAAATGGTGGGCTGCTTTGGAGATTTACGAGGATCTTCTTGATGAAGGACCTGAGCCTAACAACTTGTCTTACGAGTTAGTGGTTTCTCACTTCAGTATCTTGCTGAGTGCAGCTAGCAAGAGAGGGATATGGAGATGGGGAGTTAAGTTACTTAATAAGATGGAAGATAAAGGGCTAAAACCACAGAGCAGACACTGGAACGCTGTTCTTGTAGCGTGTTCAAAAGCCTCTGAGACCGCAGCTGCTATACAAATCTTTAAAGCAATGGTTGAAAACGGTGAGAAGCCAACGGTTATCTCATACGGTGCGTTACTAAGTGCACTTGAGAAAGGGAAGTTATATGATGAAGCGTTTAGAGTTTGGAACCATATGATTAAAGTAGGGATTGAGCCTAATCTTCACGCTTACACCATCATGGCTTCTGTTTTAACAGGACAGAGCAAGTTCAATCTTTTGGATATGCTTCTCAAGGAAATGGCTTCAAAGGGTATTGAGCCAAGCGTTGTGACTTACAACGCTGTTATAAGCGTTTGTGCGAGGAAGGGGTTGAGCAGTGTGGCTTATGAGTGGTTTCAACGTATGAGAGGTGAGAACGTTGAGGCTAATGAGATTACTTATGAGATGTTGATTGAGACGCTTGCTAATGATGGGAAGCCAAGGCTTGCTTATGAGTTGCATTTGAAGGCTCAAAGTGAAGGGCTTAAGTTGTCTTCTAAGGCGTATGATGCGGTTGTTAGAAGTGCTGAGAGTTATGGAGCTACCATTGATCTTAATCTCTTGGGTCCTAGACCAGGGAAAGAGAAGAGAGCTTAGCAGTTTTTGCATTGTACACGAGAGAAGATGATGTAACAGAGTTTATAATGGATGTTGTAACGAACATTTTGCAAGAGTACACCGTTAAATGTAAGTATCTGAGTTGGTTATCATAAACCGAACTGAAACCGGACTTGAACCGGCTCTTAATTTCAGGCTTTCGGCCCATTACTAAGTTAATGAGCTCATTTCGTCCGCTTTATGTTGTACACATACATTTCCAAATTTTATTATTTGTTATAAATGAAATTATTCGTTTATTTACTCAAAACACTTAAATGGAAGAATTATGATTTAAATTTATCGCACTCAAAAGTTATATAATTATACGAATTAATACAATGATTGCAAAACTCCAAACACTTGACGGAAGCAACATTGTCTGTTATCCCAACAACTACAGTCACCATGGTTTTAAAAATATGGTTTAACTTAATTTATGTTGGACCTATCAAATCAAATCTTCTTAAGAAAAATTATAATAGTTATTGAAATTTTAGCACGAGTGATTACTTAGTTGTTGTTTTTTTTTTTATTTTATTCATAAAAGAAAAGAAAAACAAATGCATGCTTTCGAATTGAGTAGGTATAGTTTTTATTTTACTTTTGTAAAAGTAGGTAGGTACAATATAATTTGGAACTCATAATTAATTTGAACGGATCAATTATCATAAGTTTCTTTTGATAAAGGTTTTGTCAATTTCATAAATTTTCTTTATATATATATATATGTTTCTTTTGTTTCATGAAAGGCCGCATGTCATTGACCTCATTCACCTAACTATAAAAAAACACATTGATAGCATAGTGGCATATACTAATAATTAATCCAAAACTTATTGTGTTAAATGAAGAATTGATTTGCGATTAATTTAAAGACTTTCATAATTTTAACGTCTCCATATATATAGTTTAAAGTTTGAACTTTGAGACTACATGCATGCATCTTGTATGAGCAAATATACCTCGCTCGCCACATATGCATAATCCACATCTTACATACATGAAACTAAGCTACAATTTACTTAAAGATTATTCATATATTTATAGATATATTACAATGTTATACATAACATTCTGTCATTATAAGTAAAGATTATCATCAAGATTGGTGAAGAAGTCCCATGGTACCAAAGGATCCGTCATATATGCTAAGTCCCATTGCTCTAAAAGGATTGAATCTTCTGCAAGATTTGAAGAAGATTCACTTCTTGAAGTATTACTGTATAAAGAAGAGAAAGAAGAAGAGGAGATAGATATCTCGTTTCCTTGCATTTCGAATAGAGATCCAATGTCTACTTCATCTTTGATAGTCTGTTCTTTGGTTTCTTCTCCTTCCTTGAGGGTAGAACACATGTTTGGTTTTGTTATCTGGTTAGGTTTGGTTTGGTTGGTAATATTATTCATTGGTCCATGCGTAGCCGGATCTAAACCAAGACATTTCATCTTCTTCTTGATCTTCGTATTCCAGTGGTTTTTAATCTCGTTATCCGTTCGACCAGAGAAATGAGAGGCAATTTTAGACCACCTACAACGTCCAAAACATTCATTAAACATGTAATAACTCGCAGGTGAAATTATATGATGCAGAGATATATTTGGATATGCTCTAAATATCTTAATTATCTAGTTTATTATTTATTTTGGTGTTTATCTTAGTTAGATGAAATTATCTAAATAATTTTAAGATTATTTGATTTTCATATAAATAGGTTTTCTATACTTAAGAGTTGTAGGAAGATTTTGATATTGAATAGACTTTAAACTTTATATATAGTTAAACAAGCTTTATAGCATGGAAAAATATTTTCAAATCAAGAACTTTTGTTAAAGTACTGAGAAGAGTATGCATATTCCAAATACTTATATGCATCAGCATATAACGTGATTATATCAATAACACTTTATTTTACGTCTCAAAATCAACTTACCATGCAGAAGTATATATATGCATCAGACTCAGTTTTTTTCGCATAATTTATGAAATAAATAAATTAATTTAATGAAGCTGACGAAAACATATCGGATCAAAATCCAAGAATGATGTAAACGTTTGGAGAGAGATTTCATTTGTAAAATAGTTTGATATAGAGTAACGAAACATATGATAGAAAATGAAATTATCATATTACCGGTTGCCAAGTTGAGAGTGAAGTTCCACAATACGTTCTTCTTCAGCATCAGTAAAACCACCTCTCTTGAGATCGGGTCTCAAATAATTAATCCATCTCAGTCTACAGCTCTTACCACATCTCAACAAACCTTCATGCACACGTAAACATTAGTCAAAACAAAAATAAGAGAAGAAAAACAAGAAAACCCTTTATCAAAAAAATAAACAAGAAAACCCCTATTTATGGAAGCATATATAAACACACATATGTATGTATAAATAGATAAGTACCTGCGAGTTTGGGGACAATTCTCCAGCAGTGGATTCCATTGTTAAGAATGAAGTTCATAAGTTTATGATCTTCTTCTATAGTCCATGGACCTCTCTTCAATCCAATTTTCTCACAGCAAGGCCTCCTCCCCATTGATTTTCTTTGTTTTACTAAAAGCAAGCTCTATAATGACATTTATCAAATGTAATACATATAGCTTTGATGCTAATGTTAAGCAAAGCGAGAGAGAGGTTGATGTGTTAGCCAGAAAATATAAAGAAGAGAGCTTTGAATCAAGTAATGGGCAATACCTATAAATAATAAGAGATGAGTTGGGTAGGGAAAAGATTCTCTCTTTTGACAGGTCACTTACAGACTAAAAGACAAATAAATCCAATATTAATGCAAAAACACTAATAAGTGAAGCAGTAAACAATGATTACGGAGACGCTTAAACAAAGATTTAGTGAGAAGTGTGAGAGGTTGTTTTAGAATAATATGCACTTGTCGACAAATTTGCACTTACCTTATAATCAATTAGCTAGTTATCAAAGGTTGCGCTAATGCAAAACTTAAACTGAATGGTAAAATAATTACTTTCGATCAATTGTATACATGTTCTAGTAGTATACAATTGTATATAATTGTATATATGACCTTTTGCAAGTTATTAATTTGTTTTACTATAAAACTCTTATTGTTAATGATTTATAAATGGCTTATGATTACTTTTATTGGTTACTAAATGAATTAACTGATTAGTGATTTGTTTGAGATTTGATTAAAAGAGAACAACGTAATATTTGTTTTGATCTATGGGTCCGCTCCTTCAGACCTTTGTGCTTGTTCTGTCATCAAGGCATCTTTTCTTTTTCAATTATTTTCTGTAAACATTTTGTGTATATATATACTTGTTGTGAACATTTGATGACTCCACTTTTTTACATCATCATTTGTTAAGTATGCACTTATGATTAGGCAACTTGCTTAATATAGAATGTCAATATTTATATTCGTTTGCCATAAGATAAATTTAGTGCTGTGAATTAGGTTAATCCACATCCATTTGTCCATATGCGTTTGTCCATTTTTTTGTTTGTCCATTAACGACCAAATTTATTAATGGTTTGCGTTACATGACCAGATAAAAAAATCCAGCTCATAAACCTAGAAATACAAAAACAAGTTTAAAAGACTAAATTTATCATAATTTAAATTTAATAAGTTTAATGTTCTCAGTTCAGAAAAGTAGAAAACTGTTTCTAATATTAGATGTTATTAATAAGATACACTGATTGGAACAAATGTTTTAAATAAAAAAAATATTTGGGTCCAAAGTTATACAATACCTCCAAACTTTAAAAACAGCAGACATTGATAGTATTTAAAATGTATATACTAGTGACTGAAAGTGTAGTGGAAATATTAAAACACTAATTAGTCCCTCAACTTTAAGAAAAATCTTGAAGCACTATGTCAGCATATCACCATAAACTAGTTTGCAATAGTTATTTAAGTACAAAGCAGAACCCCAATTTTTTAATTTACTAAGTATAAAAGCTATTTAAGTATTATTTTCATTTCATAGTGTATATAGAACTGGTATCTTTAGTTACTGAATTAGCTGCACAATAAAAAGAAAAAATTAACAGGAACAATTTGCATTAAAAACGCTCAAAATGGAGGCATTTCGCGTTCATGCACGAAGGCATATTCTCAAAGTACTCGAAGTATATGCATGTATCAAATATGGATCGGATATATAGAAATCTATCTAAGCATATGCTATTTTCCAATACTGAAATGATTTTAAAAGAAAAATACTATCGTATGCATTTAATTGCATTATTCTTCTTTCTTTTATCGAAAACTTAATCCCTTATACGGCCCTGTTACATCTTATAATGGTATGCGAACGTTCAATTTGCACTAAACTACTATAGAAAACTATATTATTATGTATTAAACTAATGTTTGTATTATGTGACTTTATACGGCTTTAGTCAATAAATAAATATATTCTAATCTTTTGCGAGATGCATCATAATCTTGACGAAAATAAAACTGTAACCAAATATTCGATTTTGTTTTGGTTCACTGAACTGAAACTACATGGGGGACCAACATCAAACTAATTGTAAGTTTGTAACCAAGTACAGTATACGGAGAATGGGTCCGAAATGTATTAACACGGGGGACCAACATCAAAAAGACTTCAATTATAGGCCCATTAATAAATAATACAGTATTACGTTTGTAGCCCATTGGTTCCAACTTAATTCCATATCTTCATTAACATGTTTGCTATTAAGAATGCTCTTTACTTTCCCTTGTTTCCTTTATTCGATCACAAACTTATTGCCAGAACTTGTAACACTATTCGCAGACAAGCCTCATATACGGAATTTCTATTTTGGTCGCGGTTTAACAAAACCGGCTCGAGATTGAACCAATCCCTAATCAATCCGGAATAGTTTGGTTTGGTCAAGACACGTCCCTCGTTGTGACGAACAAAGTACTAGCTAGTGTTACAGAACCTAAACGATAGTACAGAGTACATATACATGTGTACCACTAACAATTTCAGACACATCACCACGTTCACTTCGCTGTCCTTTTATGATTTTTTTTTCAAAATGTCTAAGCGAACAACATGTAATGATAATGACTTAATGATCATTTCGACACCAGGACTCGTTCTTATACGTTGACTTTTAAATATACTAACCATTTTTATAGAACCACTATTACTATATAAATTGTCTCCCCTTTGTTGATAGATCCCACACAGAACATCAAAGAAAGAAACCAAAGAAGACGAAGGGAAGAAGAATTCAAATGGCAGCAAGAAGTTCTTTGATCCGCTTTGCCTTCGTCTGCATTGTCTTGGCCGTGTTGGTCATGACTGCCGAGTCACACGCCGGGCACAACCATGGTCCAACTAAGGCACCTGCTATGGCTCCGATGCCACATGCTCATACTCCGGCTCCAGATGCTCCAACTCCAGGTGCTCTAGCTCCAGGTGCTCCGGCTCCAAGTGCTGCCACTTTCTCCGCATATCCTCAGCTCATCGCCACCGTGTTTGTTGGTGCCTTGTCTTTCGTCTTCTAAGATTTGTGTTCCCATTCATCTTCTGAGTGTTTGCTCTTCTGAGTTGTTGATTATTTCTATATTTTAATGTCATCCTTGTTTTTTGTTTGTTTATTAACCAAAAAAGATTGTGATGTTCTGTGTCTATCACAATAATGCCTATCTATAAAAACATTCTCGTGTTATGTTTTATCATGTTCATCTCATTTATGCGGTACCTACCCTGAATATTTATTAACCGGAAGCAATTAATAAAAAAATGTCTATTATTGTAGTTAGAAATTGAACCTATTACTTAAATTTCAATTTTTACTTTCAATAACAATTAATCTATTTAATGTTTTGTTAAATATTTTGATCGATATTTTATATAAACAAAAGAAGGCCGGAAGCCTATACTTCCTTTGCTTCCCCTCAAGGTCAGTTATACACATTATAATGTATTGTTCAGCATGCTTTGTTTCATGAATTTTCTTTTGATTAAAAAACGTTTAACCATTTTACCTTTAGACTTTTAAAATGCCTTTAATAACTCTATAGCGTTACACTAATTTAAAAGTATAAAGAATGTATAACTATCCAATGTAAAGATAAAAATAAGTTTTCTAAAGGCTCAGGTTGCAATAATGGGTATGGTTAAACAAAATAAAAGGTGCTTTCAAATGTATTTTTGTGTGTGTTTGTGATCATCTTAAAAGTGCATTTCAGACATTGGTTTTGTTAGCAATGAGTACCTCTATTTCAGCTACCACTGTGGCAATCTTTTTATATAGTTTCATGGATAATATCTACAAGACTACAAGCATCACGAAACAAGAAAAAAAACACACTAGAATGCCAAAATTATAAGTACAAACTCCCCTGAATCAAATGAGCAAAATCACTAAACGCTAAACAACTTAAGTTTCAGTAGAACAACATGTAACGTTAACGACCATCTTAATATAGAGTTTCCTTTCTTGTTAATGTCCATCTCAACAGTTAGGAGACTCATTCTTCTCCGTTGACTTTGTAGCTACCCACTTACCATTACTATACAATCTCTCTATCTCCAACTTTTTCTCGACATTTTTGATTGATGTTGTGGCCTTATATTCACTCAAAAGACATAGAAAAATGAATAAATAATGAAAGTAATTATAGGCATGAATGATGACGTACTCAACAAAGAAAAGAGTGTATTCATGCCTGTTTTTTCTAGGTAGGCTTTGTGTTAGTCCACTAACCATTCTTATATACATTCAATCTCTCTGTCTCCAACTCTTTTCTCTACATGATTAACTAAATGTTGTAGCCTTCCACCACTCATTTGAAAATACAGAGAGATAATTGAATAAATATTGAAATTTGAAAAAGAAAAGATTTGTGAATCGAAAAATAAGGAATAGAGATAGGATTTACTCATTCCAGGCCTTTTGGATACAATAGTAATGGGCTAGGCCCAATAAGTATTAATTTTTGATTCGACCTTTGCCTTATCCTTTCAGCTCATCATCTTCTTCCTCGCCTCTGGAGTTTCAAAATCGCAAGGAAGAGGATAGGATAGAGAAGAACAATGGCGCAGATGGTTGCGATGCCCGTAGCCCACTCCCTCTCACTCATTTGCAATTGGACTAAATCAAATCCTCTCACCCGCAACACCATTGCTCTCCCACCTTCTTCTAACGCTCCCAACGTAATAATACTAATCTCTCAAAAAGACTCTCTCTTTCTTTCTCTAGTATGATTCTTGTAATTAAAGTTGATTACTTTTTGTTGATATGCAGAAGCAGAGCTTAACCATCAGATGTGCTCGTGTTGGAGGTGTGGAGATTCCGAGTAACAAGAGGATTGAGTACTCTCTTCAGTACATTCATGGCATTGGCCGAACTAGAGCTCGCCAGATCCTCGTTGATCTTCAGATGGAGAACAAGATTACTAAAGACATGGCTGAGGAAGAGCTTATTGTTCTTCGTGATGAAGTCTCCAAGTATATGATCGAGGGTGATTTGGTACTCTCTCACTCTTTCTCTCCTACAGCTTTGTCTTTTTTTTGTTCTATGTTTCATAGTAACAGTTTTGTCGCAGAATGGTTTGTTGTCTCTTGAGATTGGACTGAACTGTTTAGGTTGTTTTATTTTGTGTGTTTGTGCAGAGGAGATTCAATGCTCTTGCTATCAAGAGGTTGAAGGAGATTCAGTGTTACCGTGGGGTAAGACACATCCAAGGGCTGCCATGTCGTGGACAGAGAACCAAGAACAACTGCAGAACTCTTAAAGGTAAGAAGATTGCCATTGCTGGCAAGAAGAAGGTTTCCAAATAATCTGAACGTGATGTCTTGTAATACTCTTTTGGTTCTGTCTTGTTTCTCTCTTTGAACTGTGATTTGTAATTGAGTTGAGCTCTTTCCAGACTATCTTTAGCTGTGTCATTGTTTCATATCTAATGTTTATAATGCCAAAGATGATGGTGATGCCAAACAAAGAACAAACCTCAAAATCTGATCACACCAAGATGGTTTATTCAGAATAAGTAGTACACAATGACTACATAGAACCCCCCCAAGAAATGAAAAAATTGATGACTTATGTATAAAAAAGGACTCATAATCTTAAGTCGTCTGTAATCCTATTCACAAAATCTTGCTACATACAAAAAAAAGGAAGAGAATGAATGATAATAATAATAATAAACAGGGTAAAAATTCTCAGTAAGAGAACTCATGGCCACGTAGAGAAATGTATTTCTTGACCCAAATAGCAATATCTTCAGCGCAGGCCTGTGCTTGAGGAGTCTTGAGAAGAATATCAAGCGTTGCAAACTCATGAACCGCGTCTTTATATTCTAAAACTGGAGAATCTACGTTTACCTTTCTAAGCTCCTCTGCATAAGCAATGGCTCTATCTCTCATCCAGTCGTGTTCGGCCACTACTGTGAGAGTTGGAGGCATTAGTTTCAGAGGTGGTCCACTGCGGTTATGGGCAAGTGGGTTTGCTGCTGGGTGGTCAAAGTCGAACTCTTTCTCTGGTAAGAAGAGTTTCCAGGCGAGGACAGAGACGGGTTTGTCGTAGAAGTAGGAGTTTGCCAGCTTTATTTCGGATTGTGTTGGGTTGTTTCCGATGAAAAATGGGTACATTAGAACCTGTGCAACAACTTTAACTGGCTCTAGAAGTTTCCCAGCTTCCACTGCTTTCCTCGCTACGTAGTCTGCTATGTTCCCACCACAGCTCACCCCCAGAAGAACACATCTGCGTTGAAGTCATTAATAACAAGTTGAGAAACAGCTCTTGAGTCTTGATGTGAGATTGCAAGCAAGGGAAGATCAGCTTATCTAAATGCATTTAACTAGCTCTACACAGAACCGTGAATTTGTTCCTAGTTCTCCTAGATAATAACCTCAAAACTATTCTAAAGATCTAAATTCCATAAATCAATTTTTGCATACTAATATCAATAATGCTGAAACAATCCAAACCAAAGCGTGTTCTAAGCTCAGTAAACATAAACGTTTCATGAACACATCAAAATCCAAATATTTAAAGTTAACATTATCTAAAACCTTAAGAGCAACTCACTCTATGGTCCATTACATCTAACGTTAGGCCTCTCTAGCTAATATTTCTTAAATGTTCATACTTTGTTTGTTTCAAGCAAACACAGCTGACAAAACTTGTGAAAACGAAAGATACACAGCAACACATCTGTTTTAAAACCATAAGGTGAGAAACATCTCTCGATGTGAGATTGCAAGCAATGGAAGATCACCTTATCTAAGTACATCTAACCACCTCTACGCAAAACCGTAAATCTGTTCCTAGTTCTCCACAAATAATCTCAAAAATATTCTAAAGATCTAACCTTTGCGAAACCTGTCTAAATTCCAGAAACCAGTCACTACAAACAATCATCAATACTATCAAAACCACACAGCAACACAAACCTTTAAAGCAGCTCACTCTATGATTCATTACAGCTTACTTTAGGTGTCTCTAGCTAATACCTCTTAGATATTTATACTTTGTTTGTCTTCAAGCAAACACAGCTGACAAAACTTGTGAAAACGAAAGATACACAGCAACACATCTGTGTTAAAACCATAAGGAGAGAACCAGCTCTTGATGGAAGATAGCTTATCTAAGTGCATCTCACCACCTATACGCAAAACCGTAAATTTGTTCCTAGTTCTCCATCCAGATAATCTCAAAACCATTCTAAAAGACCTAACCTTTGCGGAAACGTGTCTAAATTCCAGAAACCAATCACTACAAACAATCATCAATACAATCAAAACCAAAAAAAAAGAGATACACACAGCAAACACAAACCTGGAAGGATCAGCATGAGCAGCAAGCCAAGGCTCAACCATAGAAGCACCAAAAGCATCAACAATACGCCCTTGAACACTACTATTCCCACTCCCCTTCTTCAACTCAACCCCATTAACACGCCTATTACCAACCCCACCGTTCCCCAAAGACTTACAACAATCAGCCAAATTCGCCTGCTTCCCAATCCAATTCAACACCTTCACCCCATCCTCAAACGCCGCCGGATACCTATTCTCCGGCGCCAGCCTATACCCCACCGCCAACACAATCACATCGCACACCTTCGCAATCCTCCGACAAAAGAAGTCGTTCGCCGCAGAATCCGACCCTCCGCCCACCCACCCCCCGCCGTGAAACTGCAACATCACCGGCAGCTTCCGCTGGTTCCTCCTCGGAGACGGCGCGTACCCTCCGTAAGGCTCCGGATTGTCGTTTTTGGGGGTGAGATCTGGGCTTTGATTGTTGTGGCTGCTGTGTCTCCGATCGGATTTGGGATCGGATTGGGATTGGGAGAGGGAGGATTCGGGGAGGAAGATGCGGACGGTGAGGGAGGTCATGGGGTCGATGTGGATGTCTTTGGTGGCGACGCCGTCGGTGAAGGAAGGGTTGGCGGGGGAGACGGATTCGTCGGATCGGGTGGAGACGCCGAAGGGATCGGGTTGGGCATGGTTTGGTGAGATTGAGATTAGGTTTTGGAGACGGTGTTTGAGGAGGAGTTTGAAGAAGACGCTGTAGAGTTTCACGGGTAGGGTTGGCATTTGATTTGGGGAAATTTTTGTGGAGGTTTTTCAGCTTGGGGCTATTCCTCCGAAGTTGAAATTGGATGGAGAGTGAGGTCGAATTTGATTGAAAGATTTGGAATTGGTGAGTTTGTGATTTTGTGTAATTTACAGAGAATTGAAAATGATGATGATGACGATGGCGAAGAAGAGGATAGAGAGAGAGAGAGAGAGAGATGATTATGGACGAAGTGTCGTTGCCTGTTTGGTATGAAGAGGAGGAAGATATCAGCTGTGACGCGTTTACCGTAAGTAAGAACGTTCTGTAGCGCTTTTTGAGTTTTGTACGTTCTAGAGAGAGACGTAGATTAGCTAAAAGTTTTTTTCTTTGCGTATATATATATTTTTTTTTGTTGTTGTTTACCGATAGTATAAAATGAGACTCGGAAACTATTAATCATAGATATTTTTGATACTTCATTATGTTTCAATCATGGACTTGGCATAAAGACAGCTCTAGAGTTGAATTATTTTATTATACAAATTCATTACTACTTGGTTGCATTCATTTTTCGATGCGGAAATCTTTTGTTTTTGTTAATCGAAAGCTAACTTAAATTTGGGAATGTAACAAAGAATACTACCTTGAATTAGTCATCCCATAATTGTTTGACCATCTTAGCTTAATGAGTTCAAATGGATTTTATTCATTTGTTCAAACGAAAAAATATTGTGAAAAAAAAATTACGAGAGAAGAACAAAAAAGCTTGAAAATATCCTAGAACTTTAGTCATTCTTGGCGAACTTGACCCCGAATTAAAAATCAAAGACTCTAGAGAGAATTGTGTAAGACATTAGTTGAATTTAGAATATTAAAGTCGCACTAACTGCCATTAAAAAGGAGAATTTTGACACTAATTTCTAATATTAGACTCTGTCGGAATACAATATGTTTAGACGGAACATAAAAAACGATTAAGAAAATGGCTAGATAAGAAAGCCTTTTAACTTTTGGATTATGTGCCATAAAGTAGCGCAAACCCAAATCATAACGGGAGGACAACCTATCATATTCACCAAAACGAGACGCAGTTCAGAACTTTATAACGCAGAAAGAGTATACTTGTCCTCCCTGGACAATCATAACCCAGTTTAGCATAGCAAAAGAGACAACTAATAGCAACTTTTAAGTAATGATAAATATTAGCGGCGGTCCAAAATGTTCTCTACTTGTTGGCCATTGTGAGAAAAAAGTGGAACTTCATAACCAACAAACGATGTCTAGATTCACAACTACGGTTCTCTTTGAGCCAAGTTTTGTTCCTTCAGATTTACATGGAGAACTTCTGAGGGACCGTATCAAAATCGTCTCCAAAGTCATACCTTTGCCTTTCCCTTCCAACCTGAGACAAAAGTTTTCAACGGTTCAGTCTGAGAAACTTATAGGTTCCAGGACAGAACAGTTTACAAAACATGGCATTAAGTTACCTTTCCCAAGTATAAAGGATCACATGACAAGCTCTCATCCATGGCTATGAGATTCTTCGACAGCCCAATTGTCCTGAAAATCATATAAACACAGAGCTTACTTGATGATATTTCTACTCAGTCCAATCAATTCATTTCTCTACCAATTTGATTCCATATGACAGTAAGTATAAGGTTTTTAGACAGACCTTTGAATGACAGAATCCATTATCTCTATCATCTCACTGGTTTTGTACTGCTCAGGGTCCTCCAAGAATCTGACCATTCCATCTTTCTGGTTGATAAGGGCATGTATCTGACCATCCTGGATCTGCAAGTTTGGAAAGAAAACATGACATTGTCATATAACAGTTACAACAATAAAGTTAGCTTCGAAAAAAATCAAGTGTGGGCGACACAGAATACAGTACCATCTGAAGCACATGCATTTCCGCCTCCTTAGCATTAGCTAGTTGGACCATGTTGGCTATATCTTGAAGCGACAAGGTCAAGTACTTTTGAGTCAATCTCAGAATGTTCCGCTTGTAAAGTGATGACACTGCTTGCTTAACTAATCCAAGGTTCTTGTCCTGAAAAATAGGTTAATGAATATTAATCAATGTAAGTTATAGGGTAAATGAATATTAATATCCGTACAGAAACTAGGAAGTTTAATATCAGTAGGAAAACTACAGTGAGACATTAGGGGAGATTTCACCTTTTCAAACTCTGAGCTGTTGGCCACAACAACTGCCTCTAGTTCACTGATCATCCCGTTGTTGTAACAGTTACCCACTTCAACGTAAGTCTGAGAAAAGAGTGGATGCTAGAATTATAAGCTTAAATATAGATCTAGCTAGTATAGAGTACAAAGCAGCTGAATCCACTGGATTAAACTGAAAAGAACTCATCATATGGGCAAAATGAAGACATCATAACGTAGACAAATGATAAATGTACAATTTGATACCGTTCAAACTTACTGTACACAAGGTTTTGAAGTTACTCTTAGCTGCTGTAGAAGCGCACTTGGGGAGACTGACACTAAACTGCACAAGTCAAAATACACAATATTCTAAAAACATCATAAGATAAACCAATGCTTGAGTAGAAAATCAGAATTAGGTTATAACTAGTGAAACCAAACATTACTCAAAACATCCAATAGATAAACAAAATATCGAAACATAAACGCAGCCTTTACCTGTCCAGAGTGAATGAGAGTCACCAGTATATACTTTTTGTACGCCTCAAGAGCTATGGCGTTGACAACATGCATTGGAGCAGTGACAACCTGAAAAAGCACTTTGATTAAAGTCCATGATGGCTTAAAACATGTGAAAAAAGAAGTAAACAGAATGCATTACATTGTAAAGAAGCTCCAATGCTTTCTGGAATCTCTTCAACCCAATACATATCATTCCCCTAACAAAATTTCACAACAGACTATAAGTTACTTCTAATTTATTAACATAACAGGGCCAAGAACAAGAATCTCTTAGGCTTTACCCATAATAACAATAGAGATAAAAATCTCTAGGCAAGTCAACCTCCAAGATATCATCACTCAGAATAGAGAAACCAGCTTTATAGCACTTCGCCAACAAACACAGCTGAAGACAATCCGGATGCAACGCAGTCAAACGCTTGTTGGAGACCTGAACCTTACGAACAGCTGCCAACAATGGCGCCACGCCTCGTAAAGGATCTCTAAGCTCCAAAACTTTGTCTTTCAATCTCTTACAAATAGAAACAACTACAACAAATCAAAATTCACAACATCATCATTAACCCTAAAAATAACAACAACACAGAGAGAGACACGAGTTTATTACATTTCTCGCTAGCTAAACGAATCTGCGCAGCGTCGCAACCGTTAATGAACCGAGCGATTAACGGAACTACATCAGACACTGGACCACACGAAAGAACGTCTCTGAAACAATTCAAAAACATTAAACCTCCTTTAGAATCTACCAAAACCTCATCATCACACGTTATCAGAATAGAATGAAAGACCTCACAGGAGATAGAGGTAGCCGAGGGAATGCTTCGACGGGTCGAGCTGGTCAAGTGTAGTGAGTTGAAGATCCGAGTTTGTTCGGAGCGAGTCGTTAGCTCCTTTGAGAACATCGTGAAGTGCAGATAAGTCCCTGGAGGTAGCTGATAGTCTCTGGATTGATGTTATCACAGCCTCCAACGTGCTCATAGCTTCGATTGTAAATAGAATGTTCCTGACGAATACAAACCCTAATCGATCGCCTTTTCTCTCGAGAAAAACTTCTAGAAATGTTTGTTTTGTTATCTCTGGATCTTTCTCCATTAAGTAGCTCTTAAGTGCAAACGAATAAACCGATTGCTAACCGTAATCTGACCGGTATGTATCGACCGATTGGTATGTACAGTATGTTCACTTAACCCGGTTAATTATCCCAACGGTTTTGTTTAATTATATCTTCTGGTAAGTGGTAACTTTCATATAGTGATCAATCTTTTTAACAGAGTGATTTGATTGAAAATTTTAGATGGTGTTATTCAATCATTATTTTAAAAGAGTTTAATTCTAGACACAATCTACTGTTATTCAATTGATGATTCTAAATTCTATTTTAAAATTCAGTGTTATTCAATCTATGATTGAATTTCAGGTTTTAAAATCTGGTGTTATTCAACTTTTAAAGATTTCAAAATTCTTTGTAATATAAATGGATTTCAAATCATTAGTGATGAATTCTAATGAATAAATGATTAAACTCAAAATCTAAGGAGTATTGTAGAGATTTTAGAATCCATCAACTTTAACAATCTTAAAATTTAAAAATATGATAGATTGTAAATATTTAAAATTGACTTTAAATCACTAATTGAATAACACCCCCTTAAAAATACTTTTTATATATTAGTCTTAACTTTAAGTTTAGACCAAAAATATTTCATAATAATTATATTGATTGGCAAAAATTAAATCTTATGATGGTGCAAATAAGAATAAACATGAATTATTGATTTTCGCATAAGATGTTTAGCATAGTGATAATGTTCTAAAAATTGGTTTCTTAGGTGACAAATCTCTTCTTATCGATATGATTTTCTTAAAATTTGATTTATATGATTCAAATCGGTTTAAACTATTTTAAATCGGTTTAAATAATTATAATTGGTTTAAAATAAATAAATTTGTTAAATTAAGTAATAATTTATTTCATTACAAATTTGTGTAATTCATTTTATTTTATATATCAAATTTTGATAATTTGTTAAAATAAAATTATAATTAAATCAAAAACTAAATTTACTTATATAAATATAAAATAAATCAATAATTCGTTAGCATTTAGTCCCTACCTAGATCCCGAATAAATTACCTTTTTTTTTTTTTTTTTTTTTGTCAGCCATGAATAAATTACCTAGTCGTTAGTCCTTTATAGAATGCCTAGTTATCGTCTAACAGTTTTTATAAGATTTCGGTTAAAGTGTGAAATATTTTTATAGTTTATAATAAAATAATAAATCAGTTAAAAAAGAATTAGCCCTGAGGACCAAATACATTAACCGATTGATAACCGTATCATATAAATCAGATGTTAGCGGACCGATATGAATCAGATTAAAAATAACCGACTCTGTATTATTCGGTTTAACCAGACCATTCTCTGGTCTGACATTTTACCACCGGCGACGAGATTGCGATTACAGAGTGTCAAAAAGCAATCTCCTTTTTTTTTTCCTCTCAGATTCAAAGCTCCTCTGTTATAAATCTAACGAGAGAATAGCTGAAGCTTCATAAGTGGTGAAAAAATCAATGGCGGATTATCATTTCGTGTACAAGGACGTTGAAGGAACGTCGACGCAATGGGACGATATCCAGCGGAAGTTGGGGAATCTCCCGGAGAAGGCTCCGGCCTTCAAACCTCCGGCTTATACTCCGGAAAAGGACGAGTCTTCAGCTCCAAAGGACCAAGCTTGGTTCGATAAGAAAACAGAGGAGGAGCTTGAGGATCTTGAGGACGACAAAGATCTAGATGATGATCGCTTCCTCGAAGAATACAGGTTTGCAGATCCTAGTGAACCCTTTCTCGGATCTGTTGTTATGTAGCTCCCTAGCTATCATATCCTCTGTTTTTTTCTGGATCAAGCTCTGTTTTTTATCGATATGTGTATGTTGTCGGTATGAAACGCACCGTTTCGTAATGTGCATGAAGAAAAGAGTTCTACTTTATATGTTTGATGTGGATGATGGGTTTACGTGAGACGCACACTTCATGTGTTTCTTCTCTAATGTTTTTGATAGGAAGAAGAGGTTGACAGAGCTGAGAGAAGCTGCTAAAGTTAGGAGGTATGGATCAGTGACTCCCATCTCAAGCTCTGATTTCGTGAGGGAGGTTACACAAGCTTCTGCTGAAGTTTGGGTTGTTGTATGTCTCTACAAAGATGGGTATGCTTTTTTGAAATAGTCCTGAATCTTATTACATTCTTGAAACACTAACTTTTTGTTCATTTTTGTGTTGAATCTGATAGTATTGCAGAGTGTGGTTTGCTGTTGGGTTGTCTAGATGAATTGGCTGGTAGATACCCGGCAACAAAGTTTGTTAAGATTATATCTACTGATTGTATTCCTAACTACCCTGATTGCAATCTTCCTACCTTGCTTGTGTACCATCACGGCGCTGTTAAAGGTACACATGTAGGGTTGAAGAGTGTTGGCCGTAGGTGCACTCCAGAGAGTAAGTTTGAACCCTTCCTTTTGTTAGATTCACTATGTTATGTTTGATAACTATGGCATGTCTTGTCTCTAACCTGTGTCTGATCTAGAGAGAACCTGATGCAGCCACGTTTGCTTCTTAAAATGCTTTCAGAAAAACTGTCATAGACTGTGAAAATGTTTGAAGCATTCTTGTAGTTTGATATATATGGCATGTCTGATCTAAATGATGTCTGAACATGCCTGTTGCTTTTGCAGGTGTAGCCTTAGTTTTGTGTCAGTCTGAGCCAGTACTTAACGATGGCAAAGGTGGAGATGATGACTCCTCAAGGGAAGCTGTGATGGCTGGAGTTAGAAGACAGTTCATAGAACGAGTGGTGAAAGACCATGAAGATAAGGATAATGATGATGATGGTTACAATAGTGATTAGAAAACTCTTGAAGCTTTTCCATTTATCTTTGTTGGTTATGCTTGTTGCCTATTTGTGACTGGTAACACGTAAGTGTTGACTTCATTGGTGTTGTAATGCTTTCTCAAAATTCTTCTTGTTTTTTGTTTTAAATGAACCAATCTTCTTATTAAGCAAACCCAACAACTATAAACACCCCTGACATAACAAGAAAGCACACTATTCTCTTTCTCAAAACTTCTTTATATACAAAAACAACACTCTAATCTTGAGTCTGAGTTCACCCACAAATAGCCTCTCTTGTCACAAGTCTTATTCCCCTTACCCACATCTCTGCACCCACCAACCCACCTTCACACACAAAATGAACTTCTTTGTTGGCCGTAGTCACCACCCGGAAAGTCCCTTCTTCCTCCTCAACCGCATCTCCTTTCCCCTTGCGGTTCCTCCTGAACCGCTGGCTCATCCCAATCTCCACTTCCTTGCACACCACGTTTCTCTTTACAGACTTTCCCCAACTTAGTACTCCTGATTCCAACATCTTCAGTCCCTTCTCATGCTTCTTACCTTTCCCTCCCTTGGTGTGTTTCATCACAGTACTTCCCTTTATCACAAACCTCCGAGACAACTCGTTACGTATCACCTTCTCCGCATCACCAACCGCGAGATCCAGCAACGTCTTCCCTCTCTCATTCCTAGCATTACAATTTGCGCCACGGGAGATCAGAAACTCACACATCTTCCCATGGGCTTCTATAGCCGCAAGCATCAAAGGAGTATAGCCGTCTCCATCAGGGACGTCGAGACAATATCCTTTCCCACTCAAAAGCTCCACAGCTTTGACGTCTCCACGCCTTGCAGCACAGTGTAGAGCGTAGAACCCTCCCGCCATGTTCTTGTTTTCCTTCTCAAGAGCAAACTCAAGCATCACCTTCTCGATCACGTCAAGGTACCCGTTCTTCTCAGACAGAGAAACAACTGTCTCGCCTGATTTGTTGAGCAGCTTCACGTCTGCACCTGCGTAGACCAAGACTCTGAATGCTTCAACGTGGCCGTTCATGGCAGCTAACATTGCAGCCGAGAAGCCTCCCTCGTCTTGATAGTCTAGGAACACTCCTTGAGCTTTCACAAGCGTTTTAAGCGCCTCGGAGTCTCCTGCTTTAGCTACGTACAGCAAAGGAGAGAACACTGAAGCGTTGCTTGAATATGGAACCACACCGAACCGGATCAGTTCAAGAACTACTCGTTCTAATCCGAGACACCACTTGCTTGACTCCGCAACCGATACAACAGAGTCGCCAAACTTGTTCACTAAGCCGAAGTCAGCACCAGCAAGGGCTAGTACCTTTACACACTCTGAATGTTTGTGTCTTGTTGAGATCAGAAGAGCTGTGTCCTCATCATCGGTCTTTGAGTTTATATCGCAGCCAAAGCCAACCAGTTCTTGTATGATCTCCACTGATCCGTAACGTGCAGCGATATGAATCGGTCGAAGTTCAACCCCTCGTGAGGTTTTGATAGGAGTTTCTGGATCGGCGCCACAGTTGAGGAGGACTCTGACTGCTGCCTGGCTACCGCAGAGGACAGCATGGTGGAGTAGAGTCCGACCGTTGTGAGTAGCGTTTGGAGATTGAACTTTGAGCAGCAAACGCAATATGTCACCACTGGTTTCAAAGAACTCTACAGCACACCAGATTAAAGGGTATGGTTCAGCCACTCCAGCTCCCACTCGGAACTCTTCTCCAGTGTTGGTGTCCCATGACCACGCTCCAAGCCTGACCATGATATCTGTCTTCACACCAGCCTGTGAAAATCATGTATTAGATACAACATACTCTCCTTGCAAGGACATTGTGTTAAGAAGTTTAGTGTTAGGTAATGAGATAAAAGTTACCTGAAGTAGCAAGCGGACGGCAGAGACCTGCCTGTTGACAATGGCAGCTACAAGAGCTGTACAGTCCACGTTTGTGTATAGAGAAGGCTTTGAAGATTGAAGCAGAAGCCTATCCATGGAGTCAGCATTTACACCGCACTGTAATGAATCAACAACATAAAATGTCTTCTGTAAGAGGCCTATTAAACAACTATTAAAGAACCACAAGATGAATAACTTACTTTGAGCAAGGTCCCTACAACGTCCACAAAACCTCTGCAACAAGCAGTGGCAAGAGCATGCACAGCGACCTGAGGCCGTATAAGATCAGTTCCCATAAGCAGCTCAGCTAACCTGGGGCGTCCATGATAGCTTGCTCCCATCAGAGCTTCCTCACAAGCGGGCTGTGAAGCACCAGCTTTAAGTAGAATCTCAAGTACTTCGAAATGACCTTCCCTTACAGCTACAGTCGTTGCAAATCCCCTGAAGAGCTTCTGGTTCACATCAGCTCCAATGTTCTGTGATATCATATTGCAGTAAATGTCAGATCACTGTAAAAGTTATACAATAAAAATATTAAGCTATATTCTAATAAGTGCCAAGGACCCAACGTGTGGGAAAAAAACAAGAACCAGAAGAAGACAAACAAAAAAAAATTGTGTATAATAATAAGTTGTACAATAATACAAAGTGAATATCTGAAATGGATCTACACGAAAATGTGGGAACAACCCTGACGCAACAGAGCATGGCTTTGGCTTGATCACAGACATCTGAAAATGATATAAATGGAAAGAGAGGAAGTATGCATGTACTTGAGATGCAGCCAATGACAAAGTGACAGGACCATAAGGGGGGGCCTCAGGTTCTGTTTATGAATTATGACAAAGCTACAACACTTTCTTGTCGTCCTAAATATCATAAGTTCCTTTCAAGGAACAATAGAATCAAATCAAATCAATCAATTATCACTGCAACACAAACAGTGGAGCTTTAGAAATATTATGGCTCTCCAATAATCCATCAAGGAAAATCCAATTTTTATACTTTTCCCCAGATTTTAGCTCTAATTAACTTTGGGATTAAGCATCTAATCGCAAATCCAGCATTATAATTAGAGTTTAGTGAAAAGTCAAGTGTGTTACAAAAAGAAAAAAAAAGCCAAGCAAGTCAGACTCGGTTAAAGATGCAAATTTATACTCCCTCTGTTTCATTATAACTGTCGTTTTAGGTTTATACATACGGATCAAAGAAATAATTAATTTTGCATATTTTCCATATAAAAACATAATTACCTATACAACTAATCATATATCAACCAATAGAAAAATATATTGCAGAATAAAATTAATAAATTTTGCACTGAAAATCGAAAAAAACACTTATTTTGTAACGAAAAAATTCTCTAAAACGATAATATGAAACGGAGAGAATATATATATATATCGCATCTTGGAAGATTCCTACGAGTAACAGACCCCGAGACTGAAGCTAGTCACCATACTATGAATTTTAATTACTCGCACGGAATCCAATCCACGTTTGCCAAATATAAAAGAAAATGGTTAGAGCTAGCTTAAGCTCAGCTAAGTATATAAACAATCACAACTATACAAGTAATTTAATGGATTTATCAAAATTTGCAGATAAAAAGTTCTTTCGTATGTAAAGCAGAGGTAATCGAAAACATCGGATGTTATTGTTGAAAAACAAAAAGCAGGGTCTAAATTTTGAATTTCGAAAAATAGGAAAAAGTAAAGTAAAGCAAAACAGTTATAACTCAACGAAAGAAAAATGTTTTTCCTGATTCAAATCAAAAATGTAAAAATACGAAACTGAATGTGTATTAATTAAGAAAATAACGGCGAATCGTGTAAAAAATATTAATAGTCAACGCATCGGTTTAAAAAAAAAAATTTAAGCTAAAGACGTTGACGTTGAGACAAACGTACCAGTAACTTCTTCACGAGAGCCACGTTTCCGAAACTAACGGCGAGGAACAACGCCGTCACGTCGGTTTTAAATTCCTCGTACTCAACTCTGACTTCGCTCGCGGATTCATCACGTACCACGACCTCGCTCCGTCTCGTCTTCAAGCTAACGGCTCCCACGAAGTTCACGTCCACGAGCGGATCGGAGATGTGATCCGACGCCGTTTTGGTGTCTCCGTCGAGGATAGCGTCGAGAAGACGCTGTGATACCTCTGCCTCGTAATCCATGGGAACGACTTTACCTGAGAAAACCGTCATTGTCGGGGGAGTTACGATCGTTACTGGTCGTTGACCGAAATGTTAGAAGCTAACAAAACGTCGTCGTTTTTGGAGGATCGTGTTTTTTCTTTTTTTTGATAGACGCGAGGCTCGAGAGAGAAAGAGAGGGGAGAGACTTGAAAAGAAGTGAGCGCCAGGGATGTGTGGGGAGATGAGTGTAGAGGAGAATTTATTGACCCGGATTTTTTTTACAGCACTAAACCACCGCGGTTAAAATTGGGTAATAAATGCGAACCAACGTGTCTCTCGTTTTTAACCGTCGGGTACATACTGCGTTGTGCTCATTGGTTTAAGAAGGAAAAAAATCAGACCTGTTTTTTTTTTTTTACTGCATATAATCAAAATTGTTAAATGTAATGTAATCTAAACATTGTAAGACTATTTGCAGAATTTGGAAAAATTTAATTCTGAATTATTCAAATTCTCAAGAGAATAAAATATTTTTATGAACACAAATATTGTCTGAAAAAGGAAGGAATATAGGATATTTACAATAAAACAACTTAAATATACAAGTGTCAAAACTTTTTGGGTTGAAGTTGGTATGAAATTATATAAATGATAATGATATATATATATAGCAAACACAAAAAATAGGTAGAAACAAATCAACAATACTAGCTTTCTTAAAATAGAGAGTTTTTTAAAAATAGTCAATATCAAATTTAGGTAAGTATTAGTTGGGAAATAAGACATAAGTAGAATACTATTGAAGTGTGGAATATCAGGGCCGGAAAGTTAGATAAGACTGTTAAGACATTGTTGATGTTAATAATACAGAATCTCATCAAATAGAATTAGTATTTACTTGTTTAGTTGATTTGTTCAATGAGTCCATACTCCCTTGTTTACTCCTATAGCTATAATCCTTGTCCAGCTAAGGTCTCAGACTATGTTTTTTGGTATCTATCTATTTTATAAGGTTTGGGTATTAAATTGCGATATTTGGCCATGTGTGTTTTGGCCTTATGTTGGATGCATCGCAGTGAATTAATGGTGTTTTTTAATTATATGTGACATGCCAAGGATAACCAATAGTTAATAATCAGATAAATATCTTCACAATTATTAATTACTCTCTCTCTCTTTTGTCCTGGACGATGTGAATAGAGTAGAATACTGATCATAGTAGTAAAAACGTTGGGAGATTAAAATTAAATGCAAGAAGAGATATAAAAGTGATGTAAGTGAGATCTTTGGATGATACAAGGAATGTCAAAGTGTGGTAGAGAGAGCATAAAGAAGTCGGTGGAGATATATAGAGGAGAGGACAATACCCTCGTAATATCGTACGTACTGCAAAGACGAGACTCGTCATGAGGTTGACTCCTCATCAACCATTAACAGTACTCACTCTCTATGTAGATTAGTAGATATAACTATTTTGGTTTACTCGATGCTGCCCACATCTAGCTGTATCTGAATTGACGGCATGCTCGTATGAGCTCAACCAGAGAATTTCTTAATTATTTCAGGATATGGTTTAAATGAAGGATCCTTACATGAAAATGAGTTGACCAAAAGAACGTGATTCATCGGATCCTAGTGTGGACATGAATCATGTCTCGAAAAGATCTCGTGATCCAGGCTTCCACGTGAAACTTACATGTTTGATTCCTTTTAACAAGTGCAATATTATATAATTGTGATTTAGCACAAAAAAAAAAATTGTGTAAAACTGTTGTTTACATAACACTACTCGTCGAGACATCACACATACATAAATACATTCAGAAAATAAGCAGAAAGTGTAAGCAAACAAAGGCGATTTAAAATGATCAAGATGGTAAAAGGAAAACAACTTGCACCAAACATCACAGGTCCTATGACTTTTACAATTTTAAATTTTGAAAAAGGGTAGATGCATGATCATACGTGTAATCAAATATTTCAAATTCCTATTTAGCGGCAGAGATTAAATATTTAATTGGTTTGCTTCAATCTTAAAGTTCCATGGCTCAAGCAAATATCATGTCTCTAATGATATAGTTTAATCTTCAAAAAGACATTTAGTCTTACCTTAAAGCAAAATGACTTATCATTTACCTTCACTACCCATGCTATAACCTTCCAATCTATTAAATTTGAGATTCGAATTTGTACAAATGGACCACATAATGTTCTCCTAATCACAGCAAAATGTCTTGTTTAAGTTTTCTTTTCCTTTTGAGCTTAAATTTTAAGTTAATATTAAAAGTTGGTATGCTCTAAAAAGCGATTATTGGTAGTACTGTTACATACTTTTCTCATAAAAAAACCAATTATGATCTTATCGAGAAAAGTGCTTTTCATTTCTTCGATTAAATTAACTACCACGATAACTACCAACAAGATTAATTAGCATTCCTTTAGGTGCCTAAGTTGTTCATGAGGAATCAACATCAGAATATTAATAGATAACAACATCCTACATAGGCCGGCTCTGAGAATTATGGGGCGAAGGCGATTTTTGAACGATTTCACCTAAATTTTTTTTTTTTGAATTTGGGGGCCTAAAACATTTTTTTTGGGAGCCGATATACATATAAATTTTTCAAAAAAACTTGGGGGCCAAAGCCAATGTTTCATCCGACTTTGCCTATCGCCGGCCCAGATACATACATACATCTATTTCTTGATAAGATAAGATAAGAAAATGCATCAAGATAATACAAGTGCATATTCCTCTTTATTTCTTCATGTTCTGCATCGAGCTTGATGCATTCAAATTCCTCCAATAGAAAAAAAAAAATTTTGGCCGGTCACAAATCAAAGAACAATATTGCTCCAGGAGCTTGTGTCTTGACCCCGAAGGATCCAGTATCTATCATTTCTTCATGTTCTCTGTTTTCATGCTAGATACCCACAAATCCCATAGCCTTTGTCACATATGTAATGCATCAATCATCATGATGATGTTGATCTTCTTCATTATCTCAAGTAAGCACCTCCCGGTTATAATCACTACATTTACAAATGAGAAAGTAAAGAGACCTCTCGGAATTTTTGACTGAGTTGTACTTATTTCATGATTTTCATCGAACGTAGCAAAACCATGGTTTCAAAACTCTAGGTAGCTTGTTTGTGTCCTATGTCAAAAGTTCAAACAAGTAGTATTAGTTATCTTACTATAATTTCTAATACTTCACAATCATCTAATACACAGATACACAATATTATTTGAAAGTCAGTTTCCACGTGTCGCGCTCACGTTAACTCTCGCGATGGTTGATTACATAGATACCTTTAATGAATTGTTAAATTTAAAGATTATTATTAATTTTTTCTTTTAGTTTCCTTTTTAACTTTTTCCAAATAACATATATAATAAAAAGGAAATATTTCTAAAATTTAAAAACAAATTTAAAAACGAAAATATATGTATATAATATGAGTTTATTAAAAAAGGAAAGTTTATAAAATAGTAATACCCCCATTAATATATATTTTAAAATAACATAAATATATTTTCAAAATAATGAAAATATATATGTTCATGAACATTCAAAAATTTATCATTTACACTTTATTTTCTAATATTTTTTAGAAATCAAAATATAATTTGATAAATATTATGAAAATACATGTATATTTAAGCGATAAATCTTTAGAAAATTATTTGAGAAGTCACTTTTTTATGTGTCGTGTTTCTTTATAATATTATTTGAGAAGTCACTTTTTTATGTGTCGTGTTCACGTTAACCCTCACGCTGATTGATTACTATAATACCCCTAATGAGTTAACAACACAATTAAATATTATTATTTCCTTTTAAAATATTTCCAAATAAAAATATAAAATAAAAAGGAAACATTTATAAAGTTTACAAATCTATTTAAAAACAAAAATATAAGTATATGTAAATATGGTTTCATAAAAAAAGAAAGTTCACAAAATAGTAATATTTAATTTAAATATATTTTAAATAACATAAAATATACTTTTTAAGTAATAAAATACTTTATATCTATATCTTCTTAGATGAAAAACAATATTTGTATATAATGTGATTCCATAAAAAAAGCTTACACAACTAATTTTGATATTATAAAAATAAATATTTTTATTTAAAAAATAATAATTTTAAACAATATATATATATATATATATATATATATATTCAAAGTAATTATTTTTTTGTATATATCTATCTATTTTGGTAGATGATTACATACAATAATTAAGTAACATAAACTGATATATGTTTAATTGACAATTTTTTCTATAATTAGTATTCTTGAAATATTTTTTTTTTTAATTGTTAGTATATTTATTTGACTATAAAATTTTACAATTACATAAAAATATAAATTCTATTTTACTTATATAATATAATTTCTCAAAAACAATAACATTTTACTGCATATTTTAAGAGATATTAAAAACAAAACTAAAAATAAATTTTAATAATAAACATGTTTGATCAAATAACTAAAATTATTTTAAAATATCATAACACTATATAATTTAACGAAGTAGATATATTATATTTTAATAGTTAAAATTATATGTTTTCTTAATAATTCTTTTGATTTTTAATTTTCTGTTTTATGTTTGTGAAACTTAATATAACCAAAATCAAAATACTTAAACAAATCAGAATCCTTATCTTTAAAATATTTAAAATAAATTTCAGTTTACCATCCAATCAATCTAAATATTGTTAATATTGATATGTGTTCATAAGCTTCCAAACATTTATTAGTTATTTATGTATATAATTTAGAATCACACAGTTTAGTTTTTATTATTTTTCTTTCTAAGCACAAAAAATCTTAAGTTATACATAATTTTACTAGATATACTTATATTTCTAAGATAACAACCGGCATAAATGTAAATAAGACAATTAATCAAAAAAATAATATATTTAGAATAAAAAGATTATAGTTAAATTCAGAGAAATAGATAGAAGTTGATATATCCACATGATAACTAAATCAACCATAAAAACAATAAAACTGACGAAATATAATATATTATTAAATTAATATAATATTAATATAAATTATACTTACAAATTATAAATTTATTTAAAATTTGAAGTAAATATCTAATAATTTAATATATTTAATTTATAAATATTTATGTCCGTGCATGAACACAGGAAAATCACCTACTATTAAGTAATAAGCTAATAAGATGTAGCAGTTGCAACAATCTTCTTCTTAGCCAAAATCAGCAACTAATCTACTCCAACATATAGTCAACTTCATCTTCAGAAGATGAATAGTTATATTTTCATCATCTTCAATATCTTCCATAATAACATCTGCAGGTAAGAAGTATGGAGAAACGAGCTCAACAAACAGAATAATCAATTCCTGACCCAGTGGGAGGTTGACCACCCAACCATGATTCCCCGGCATACTATCTTGGAACTGGAGAAAGCGTAATGGGCCATCTATGGTACCTCTCTCGGTAGCCAACATTAAGAGTCTGATTGGTAGCTTCAGAGTAATTTTGAGTAAAAATTAAAATTGGAAAATGGAGTAAATTTAGATGATGGAAATCCAAATAGTAAAAAGAAGAAAAAACAAAAATGTATCACGCTAGCAAAAGGGAGAGTAAAGTTTGGTATGTAACATTTCTTTGTTTGAACAGTGAATGGAGTAAAAAGAAAAATACATTTTCCACCTGATTGGTGAATTATTGGTGAAACACAAAGTAAATAACTTTTTGGAGTAAAAAGTTACGCCAGGATGACTATACAGTCATAGCCTAAGTGAAATGTTATAGGAATCTGAGTCCTTTCAACAAGGGTTGGATAATGAAGACCCTGCACAGAAAAATAAAAATAAAAAATAAAAATAAATAAAATAAAAGTAAAAAATAAAAAAATAAAAAGGTAAAAATAAGAAATAAAATAAAAATAAAAATAAAAAAAATAAAAAAATAAAAAAATAAAATAAATAATCAGATGAGTTAGGTCTGATGGTAAACGGTCTGCAGCTGCAGATGCGGCCACCTGATTTCGACTCGCTCTGACCACTGCAATTTCACATTTGGGGTGCAACAACACAGATTAATCTCTTGAATTTAGGAAACATTTGAAGAAATTGTGTATGATAAAAAAATAAAATAAATAAATAAATTAGAGACAATTAAGAAACTAAATAACATGATCATTGGGAAGAAACATACATCGGGATGAGGAGGTCCGAACAAGGAAGGGAATGAAGGGACCAAGACTGCAATAGGAGAATTAACCAAGAGAGCTAAAAGATGATCCTCAAAATTTTCATAAGCTGTGTATTCACGACAGCGATGCACAATCATATCACGTACGGAAACCATACGTGTAATCAAATATTTCAAATTCATATTTAGCGGCAGAGACTTAAAAATAATTAATTGGTTTTCTTCAATCTTAAAGTTCCGTGGCGCCAGCAAATATCATGTCTCCAATGGTCTAGTTTAATCTTTTTTTTGGTGTAAGGTCTACTTTAATCTTCAAATAGACATTTAGTTTTACCTTAAAGCAAAATGACTTATCATTAATTTACCTTCACTACCCATGCTATAGTCCTCAATTTATTAAATTTGATATTTGTACAAATGGGCCACATCATGTTCTCCTAATCACAGCAAAATGTAGTTTTTAAGTTTTCTTTTCCTTTTGAGCTTAAATGTTAAGTTAGTATTAAAAAGTTGGTATGCTCCAAAAAGCGATTATTGGTAGTACTGTTAAATACTTTCTTTTTTTTTTGGTAAAATGTTAAACTGATACATACTTTTTTTTTTTTCATTTTGTAAACATTTTAACTGATACATATATACTTTTCTCTTAATAAAACCAATTACGATCTTATCGAAAAACTGATTTTCGTTTCATGATTAAATTAACTACCACGTTAACATATATATATATATTTTTTTTTTTTGGTCAAGATTAGCATTCCTTTAGATGCCTAAACTCACATTAAGTTTTCTCTAAAAAAGTATTATTTTTTCTCTACAATTACAGATTGCGGGGGAAATTCTCTTTGTCAGAAGCACCAAAGCCCGTTATACCCATAAGTGACGGATCCGTGGGCCTAAGAAACTGAAACGACATCTGTTGCATGTGCGGACTGAGAAGTTTAGAGTTTGCTAGATGATCTTTGGCTTCGTGAGAGACAATAGTTTGTGAGTACTTTCCTTGGACGTTGATGATCATCCCTTGCTCATTAAAAAATATGTTATTTTTCGTTGATTTTTTGCGGAATAAGTTAACTGTGGTGGTAAGCCTACTTGTTTCCTTGTTCTTAAAGTTGTCTGCTTCTTTATATAATAAGGTCTACCTCTATGATTTATGATGATGAGTTGTTCTCTGTCTCATGCTAGATACCCACCAATCCCATAACCTTTTATCACATATGTCATGCATCATGATGTTAATCTTATTCATATTACTGAGGTGCACTTATTTCATGGAACGTAGCAAAAGTATGGTTTCAAAACTCTAGCTAGCTTGTTGGTTCCCTAGGTCAAAATTCTCTTTCTATAATTAGTAATAAAACTTCACAATCATCTATAATGTTTCCAGATCTTTGCCCTAGTGACCTTCATCTATATACAACTGATCTCGTGATCTCATAGTTGGGAGTCTTGTTCTAGTGAGAAGAAAACCAGAGGACAGCTTGTGAACATTATTGCCAAGGTTAGTCATTTTCAATCTCTTAGTTGGTGAACTTGTCAAATGCAATAAACAAACTCAGCAAATTTCATAGACTTAACAAAATCTCACATGCTCTGCCTATCCCATTCCAAGTCTTCTGATTTATCTTATCTTCCTCCTAGTTTCCTCTGTCTTAAACCCCAATTTTGCAGTGTTAAATCTCATTTTGATGCTAAAGCAGCATATCAATATTATAGCCAAAAGAAGCAACGATTTTTTTTTGTTTTCTTTCCATAAATTACACGTCGTAGGTGTCCATATGAAATGCCACATTGTTTATTGGTAATTTTCAAACATGACTGAAGAAACATCTACAGTGAATAATTTATTAGGCATGAGAGACAGAAAGTTAAATAATATGATGGTCCGGTCTTTGAAGGTCAGACTAGTGGGATCTACATGTGGGGCCTACTAAAGTGGGTTTCCTTCAACCATTGTTGTTTTCTCCTTTAACCTTTAAACAAAGCATAATCAGTACTACCTTTGTCTGCAATGAAAATACATACGTGACCCTTATAACGCTACAAGTCTCTACACTCTGGTCCACACAAACAGTTTAAACATTTGGTCTAAATGTTAAGAAGGTCTTTAAACATAGTCTGTAAACATAATGGATTTATGGTTAAGGTCACTGATGAAATTATCTTACTGATATACTATTATATGGTTAGGAATGATATTGTTTAATGGTTATATTTGCTCTTCAGTGAAAGCTTACCGAACAGTCTCTCGTTAAGCAAAAAAGCTTCGTTTTGTCATATGTATTTGGTATCGTATAAGGGCAGTTCGGTGAATTAACAAGACACGGAATCTAATCACATACACATGTGTCGACGGCATCTTCCATTAGTCAACCAAAGTATCATCAAATCAACAATAACACTTTATTTACATTCAAATTTCCTTTTTTTCCTCTCTGGTTCAAGTTTGCTTTGTTTTTTACTGTTGTTTTACTTAACGAGAAAGGAGAAATCTAGACAAATTGCTTTTTAAAAGTAACAAACTTTCATCAAATTGAGTGCACATTTTTTTTTTACTTTATGCTTTGTTTCTGGTGTGACCCACACTCTCAACTCCACTGTTCCCTTCCTTAAGAGAAGAAGAAGATTCTTTGTAATCTCTTCTTTTTCTCAAGTCTTCTCAGTTATAAAAATTACAAAAGCTACCATTAATGCTGTCTCACCTCCTTTGTCTTTAATGTTCTTATCACCTTCTTCTCTTCCTTCCACCCAAACTACTTCCTCTTCTATGTGTTAATCCTACAACCAAACATTCTCATCCACGGCTACTCTCTGAGTTCATTAGCTGTGTTCCTCTGAGTTAATTTCACTGTCTCCAGAGTTCTTGCAAACATTATGTGAGAGTGTTCCTCTCTTTCTAGGGTTCTGTTTCCTTTCTTCTAATTTTATCATGACTCATTCAAAGGTGTTTCCTTTACTCTTTCTTTCATCTCTCTTGTTCTTACAAAACACTCATCAACTCCAAAACTCTCAAACCCAAGTCCTGTATCAGCTCAGGAAGCATCTAGAATCCCCCAAAGCTCTTGAATCTTGGGGAAGTTACTACGGAGACTTATGTCTAATCTCTGCAACTACTCATATGAGTATAACCTGTGAAGGTAACTCTGTCACAGAGCTTAAAGTCATGGGAGACAAAATCTCAAAACCAGTTGGTATTACTATGTTCCATGGATCTTCACTCCCTAACCACACTCTCTCCAAAGCCTTCTTGATAGATTCTTTTGTTACAACATTGACAAGGCTTACAAGCTTGAAGGTTCTCACCTTAGTGTCTTTAGGTATCTTTGGTGAGTTACCAGGGAAGATTCATAGATTGTATTCACTTGAGTCCTTGGATTTGAGTTCGAATTATCTCTTTGGTTCTGTTCCTCCTGATGTCTCTAGATTGGTTAAGCTTCAGAGTATGTTGCTTGATGGAAACTACTTCAACGGCAGTGTTCCTGACACGTTGGATTCTCTGGCCAATCTCACTGTTCTTAGTCTAAAGAACAATCGGTTCAACGGTCCATTTCCTGCTTCAGTTACCAGAATTGGAAGATTGACAAATCTTGCGTTGTCACACAATGAGATTTCTGGTGAGTTGCCTGATCTCAGGGAGTTAGATCATCTGCATATGCTTGATCTGAGAGAGAACCGCTTGGATTCTGAACTACCTTTGTTGCCTAAGAGTTTGGTTACTGTTCTGTTGAGTAAGAACTCCTTCTCTGGCGAAATCTCCAGTGGTTTTGATGGTTTGTCTCAGCTTCAGCATCTTGACTTGTCGTTTAATCATCTTACTGGAACTCCTTCTCGGTTCTTGTTCTCATTGCCAAACATTAGTTACTTAGACTTGGCATCTAACAAGCTCAGTGGGAAGCTACCAATTGATTTGACCTGTGGAGGCAAACTCGGATTCGTGGATTTGTCTAATAACAGACTCATTGGGAGTCCTCCACGTTGCTTGGCAGGGTCTTCTGGTGAACGAGTTGTTAAACTCGGTGGAAACTGCTTATCTGTAAATGGAGTTCATGATCAGCATCAGGAACTCTTATGTGAAGAGGCTGAGACTAAGAGGAAAGTGTTGCAAGGTAGAAAGATTGGAATGTTAATTGCTGTGATTACTGGAGCTGTTCTAGTTCTGTTTGGATTTGGACTACTCATATTATGCACAAAGCGGTCATGTAGTTGTTGTTGTTCAAAAGAGAAGTCAGTGTTGCAAACTAGGACAGATAATTCACACACCAGTCTCTCCTCTCAAGTTCTTGCTAGTGCTAGTGAGTAGCTTTGACTCATAATGTTAAGACTTCATTTTCTTGCTAGCAATAATCTTACAGGAGTTTAATATCCTTGTGTCTTGCAGGGCTAATCTCTCAAACAGCAAAGCTAAGTGCGCAAGGTGTGCCTTCATGCCGGTCATTTTCTTTTGAAGAGATAAAAGAAGCCACTGATGATTTTGATTCATCACGTTTCTTAGGTGAAGGCTCCCTTGGAAAGGTATGTTAGATAGTTATCTCATCTGGAAATGATTCCAACCATTGTGTTAGAGGTTCCCAGTTCGAGTGACCGGTGGAACGAAACTAATATTAGATGCTGTGGTTGGTATTCAAAAAAAAATTATAATATAGATGTTGCATCTAAAGCAATGGCCTCACCATCATCCATTTGGTTGACACTGCTTGTTTTTTTTTTTTGCAGCTATACAGAGGAACATTAGAAAATGGAAGTTCCATAGCTATAAGATGTTTAATGTTATCAAGAAAATTCTCTAGCCAAAGTATTAGAGGTCACTTAGATTTAATGTCTAAGCTCAACCATCCTCATCTCCTTAGCTTCTTAGGCCATTGCACTCAAACCAACCTAGAATACGATCCTGCAGTGACCATACTCTACCTTGTATACGAGTACATGCCCAAGGGGACCTACCGTGCACATCTAACAGGTCAGATTAACATATGTAGTAAACTCAAAAAAGTTAAACTTGATCTATAAGTACTAATGTTTGTTAGAATCTTGTAGAGTCTTGTCCGGAGAAGATCCTAACGTGGCCAGATAGGTTAGCAATTCTGATAGAGATAGCAAAGGCAGTTCATTTTCTTCACACTGGTGTAATACCTGGTTCCTTCAACAATCAGCTGAAGACTAACAACATTTTGCTTGATGAACACAAGATTGCTAAGCTTAGTGATTATGGACTCTCTGCCATCATTGAAGAGAATGAAAAGCTCCTTGAGGTTTGCTCTATTTCCTCTTTTTCTCTGTTTATCTTCATTTTGTATTCTCTTGACTCTACTTAGCTTCTGCTTCTATATTTTGCAGACAAAGTCAGAAACCCACAAGTCAATGTATGTATCTAAAACTCGGAGACCAGAATATACTAAAAAATGTAGCTAAAGAACATGAGATCTTACCAACTTGAGGACTATGCAGGAAAATGGCTAAAAGAGAAGATGATGTGTATAACTTTGGATTCATACTACTGGAATCTCTCATAGGACCATTGCCATCTGCAAAAGGAGAGGCCTCTCTTCTTAACGAAATGGTAACAAAGAGATAATATTAGTAACCTTCATCATCATTTTTTTATTTGGTTGAAACGTAGTGTTAGTTGATATATGTTACTGTAATGTTATGTTTTTTGCAGACTTCATTTGGGAGCCAAGATGGTAGACAGAAGATAGTGAACCCATCGGTGCTAACAACGAGCTCGCATGAGTCTTTAACTATAGCGATATCAATAGCCAACAAATGCGTTTTGCTTGAACCTTCAGCAAGACCTTCCTTTGAAGATGTTCTCTGGAACTTACAATATGCAGCTCAAATGCAGTCTGCTGCTGACGCTGAACGCAAATCCGACACGTCCTCGTGAATCCCGCAGAGCTAATGATTGATTGATAGTGTTTTGTTTGTTAAGTCTATATACAACATGTAAATTATAGAAGTTTGGGTTTTCATGAAAAAAAAAAAGTAACTAAGTAAGTCTTTCGCTAGTAAAAAGATCACATTGAATTTGTTTGTAGCTGGAGAACTTGACAATCTTCAAGAACAAGGTAACAATGAGGTAGGAGAAATGTCCAGTTCTGTAATCTGTACCTGAACCGGAGGCCAGCAGCTGGGAACTAACTAGGTTCCAAGGAGCTGGTGAGTTCCTTGCTTGGTACCATGCGTCACAAGTGTCTTTTATCTGTTTACGCTCTTGTAAAAGAGGTGCTGAAGACCAATATGGCTTACAAGGAAAGTAGAGTAGTGTACTGTAATCTTTTGTATGATGAAACGTGATCAATGGTTTGAAAGGAAAGTATTAGTGTATTATAGTCTTTTGTATGCTGCAGCATTACTACTTATGATATAGCTTTAGCTTGTAGCTGTTACTTAGTCTACTCTTATTTATACTCTGATAATGGTTTTGTTTAAGCTAGTATTTTGTTAAATAGATTCCAAGTACAATGTTGCACAAATAAATAAAAAAGGATCCAAGTACAATAAATATTGTTTCTCTCAGTAGAGGTTGTAAATTTGATAGAGTCGAATGGATATGAGAAGGTATATCTTCCAAAGAAGGTATGTTTTCCACAGCTTTAAACTGAACAGTCCTATCAAATCCTTCAGGCAACAAAAGTTGATAGATTCAAGGATAAACATAAAGGGTGTTAGACTGTACGATAAAAGGCATATTGATGATGACAAGAACTTGGTGTTTTCACTGCAAATAAAATGGCACGGCATGACAAAGCCTATACCCCAAGGTATTCACATTCTTCTGTATAACGAGGCATTACCTAAGTCTAAACCCAATACGGCAAAACAATTTTGGGAGCTCACATTTTTATCTATGTACAAAGCTAACGGAAGTCTCGGCTCTTGAGTTTGGTTTTCACTTCAGCAAACCAAGTTAGCATAATGATATTATTGATTGGACAACCAAGTTTGTCACAGTATTTTTCCAGAGTTTCATCATAAAAAAACCACACACACGAATAAAAACATAACATTCAAGATCCAGACAAGAGAAAAGAAAGAAGGTGGGGATTGCATGACACAAGTAAATAACACGAGACAGCAGTTGAGAGAAAGAGAGCCTTGATCTTCTGATTGGTTTTAGAATACTCAACTATAGCCAACCTACCTGAATCAAACAAACAAACGCAATCAATGAATGGAAAGGAGGTTTTTTCCACACATGTTTCTCAAAGAAAAAAAAAAGGAGAATAAAGGTAACGTACTTGTAACTGGACTTGCCAAATGCAGTTTGGAGAGAGATACCAACATGCGTCACAACTTCTGGGAAGACCTCAGTAACTGCAAATTTAAAGCCTTCCATAGAACTTCCGCTAAGTTTCAGAGCCTCGTCCAGAGCATTTTGTCCATTGAGATAAAGCAAAGCTGAGCTGCATAAACTCAAACAAGGCTTTAGTTAGCAGAGCTGATAAATTAACCAGTACACTGGTGGGAGGAAGAAAACACACCCGTTCCCGAAAGCAGCACAACCGGATCCGGGGAAAACCCTACACAGCATCTTCTTGATATCATTCCGAGAGAGGCAAGTACCAAACCCTGTAACTTTCAACCTAAATATAGCAGGAGGAGATGGTATTATCAACATGACACACAGAAGATTCTCCAATAATAATTAAAAAAAAAAATAACGATTTACACGTGCTGCCGGTATTTATCAAAGGCATAGGTAGGAGCAAAGACATAATCAAGGCTATTGTCGTCAAAAGGGTAAGCCTTAATATCCAAAACACGCCCTCCCATGTCACTTCCATCAAGCTGCAACGCCTCTGCTTCACATTCTCCATTAACATAGATTAATGCGCATCTGTAAATACACAAAGATTATTATAGACTAAGCAGAGCATAGTAGCGATCAAAGAAGTCACAAACCTGCCGTACTTTACGGGAACAAAGACATGTATTAACTTTATTCCACGTGATGCCAAGTGTTTTTTCAGAGCCTCTTCGACAACCTCCCTAGGAAGGGAGGTGTCGTATCCCTCAACCACCATCCTGCTAAAACTGTTTCAAAGGATATTTATTGGTTTATATAATTAACGTGATGACAGGAACAACACATGATCTATCTTATTAGAAAGAAAACGAACCTGGAGCTAATTAGAATCTCTGCATCACGATCACAGTTCAATTCCAGACCCTAAGGTTGTACAAAATATTTAATCAGAAAAAATCCTACGAAGAAGAAACAATTCATTGAGAAAGTGATAAAAGATTGAAGAAGAATTACTTTGTTCGCGGATACGTCCATGGCTTGACTGGTGCGCTAGGTTTTTCGAGAGAGGCGGGCGATGAAGATAATTTTGTAATTTTTGGTCTTTATAGAGAGTCTCCTCCTCGACCTTGTTTTTGGGCCGTAACTATCCTTCTCGTTGGGTCTGCAGTTTAGCTTAGGCCTGTACTAGGCCCAACGATAACGATATATTCATCGATATTATTTGTTTTGTTTCTAGATTTTATTTTTTAGTTTTTGGTTTTTAGATTTTAGTTTGAGTATTTGCAGTGTACACACAAGGAACATTGGCATATTAGGCATATGCCCTATTTTTGTCCTGTAGTCATAATCGCACATAAACTCTTTACCATTTTACCCCTATAGAAAGTGAAACTTCGTTTCTATCGACTTCTAATTATATCGTTCTTTATCTTTCTTCTGTTATCCATCTCTACACTGCTTCCTATAGTTTTTGTGTCAGACAAGTTTAGTATTACGGTTTTTTCTTTTAAATACTTTCATCGAAACGGTTCTATCGAGGCAGTGTAAAGACTCACCCCCCTTTTCTACTTAAATGCACTGTTCGTCGAGTACAAATCAGACACTTATCTCAATTCATTTGCATCAAATTTTCTTTCTTCTCAACAATTAGCATAATGGAGACAACTATTGGGGGAAGAACCACGATATATTTTTTCTGCAAGCGCTACTCATTAGCTTTGATAAATAAGTGTATAGCATGTCTATAATATCCAGTAGTATGCTAAATCTCATCTTATATGATTAGTAGTTTCGTAGAGAAAATGTTAACGTTAATAGCTCTGTTAAATTAAATTAGAGTTTGTATACGGAATATTTTAGCAAGATAAACCGAAATCATTACACATCAATGATTGTGTTGCCATGTACTTTTGAGCCTTGCGATACATTAGCTTTGTTAAATAAGTTTAGAGCATTTATACAATTTCCAGTAGCATGCTAAATGAAATCCAATACGATTAGTAGCTTCGTAATGAAAATGACCAAGGTAATAGATTTTGTTAAATAAAAGTAGAGCATGTATACAAATTATTTTAGCAGGATAAACCGAAATCATTACAAAATCAAAGTTTGTTTTGCAGTGTTTNGCTTTGTTAAATAAGTTTAGAGCATTTATACAATTTCCAGTAGCATGCTAAATGAAATCCAATACGATTAGTAGCTTCGTAATGAAAATGACCAAGGTAATAGATTTTGTTAAATAAAAGTAGAGCATGTATACAAATTATTTTAGCAGGATAAACCGAAATCATTACAAAATCAAAGTTTGTTTTGCAGTGTTTTTTTGTCTTGCGATTATCATACTGGTGCTAATCATTAACAGTTTACGGTTTCTATTTGTCTTGACCTTTGCGTATTAACCTCTGTTTATATACACAGATTTTCGTTAGCATGTTAACTAAAACAATTATCCACGGTCTTTTCCAGGTACAACATGTTATTCCCTCCTCCTACTAAAATAAATGCATGTGCAGTCGTCTTCTTCTATATCATCGACGACAAAAAATTAATTACAAACAGAATAACGAGACTACAAACATAATGAATCATGTGTAGGTGAGGTTACAAGAACATTCCAACGAGAGAGAGAAGAACATTTATGTTATGTCATGAATAATCATCTTTGATGTTTTTGGTTGAGTGTAAGAAGAAACCCATCGATAAGCTTCCTTTTATAATCAAACAACGAAAGCATACATTTTCGAAATCCCCCCTCATGAATCAAACTTTTCGCATGCAACCCAAAACCTTTTCTTTTCGTCCCCCTGGCCATGCAGCTGCTGTGTCAGAAATTGATGAGTTTCTATTGGTTCTTGATGCACAAACAGATACACGTAAAGGAGGCGGGAAAAAGCTCAATCATTACTAATCCCCCCAATTAAAACAAAAACCCTTCTAGCTTGCTACCTATAAACGGCCTACGAGAACAACACCACTTGAGGCTACTTTTGTAATTGCCAGACTAAACTCATCCCCCACATATTTACGTGTGTGTATTTTGCTAATTATGCCCTTCTTATACAATTTTCAACAAATTCACTCTTTTAGTTTTTGGTTTTTAGATTTTAGTTTTTGATTTTTCAGTAGATTTTGGTTTTTGAAAAAACATGATTGGTGATTTTAGATTTTGGTTTTGATCTTTTTCTTTTAAAACTACAAAAAATAATATAATATTTATAACTTTATAAGTAAAAAATGTTTATAAACTTTTTAAAGTTATATGGTAAACTCAACAGAAAGACACACATAAACAAAAATTTCACCAATACAATTATCGATATTTTGATGGTTTGTCTCAGCTTCAGCATCTTGATTTGTCGTTTAATAGTCTTACCGGCAACTCCATCGAGTTTATTGTTCTCATTGCCGAATATTAGTTACTTGGACTTGGCGTCTAACAGGCTTAGTGGGAAGCTACCAAGGAATCTGACATGTGGTGGCAAACTTGGTTTCGTGGATTTGTCCTAATAACAGATTGGTTGAGACTCCTCCTAGTTGCTTGGCAGGGTCTTCTGGTGCACGAGTTTGTGAAACTCGGTGGGAACTGTTTATCTATAAAACGGAGTTCTTGATGTGTGAAGAGGCTGAAGAAACTAAGAGAAGAAAGTTAAAAGAAAGAAAGATTGGAACGTTAGTTGCTGTGATCACTGGAGCTGTTCTGGTTTTGTTTGCGTTTGGACTACTTATGTTATGCACAAAGAGCGCTATTGTTCAAAAGAGAAGTCAGTGACGCAAACTAGGCTTAAGGCTGTGACAGATCATTCACACAACCAACAACACCAGTCTCTCCTCTCAAGTTCTTGCTACTATTAGAGAATATTATAGAATCTCATCAGGATATCTGTTTAGGAACATTCTGTTTATATTTGACTTCCTCTACAAGTATTTTGTTTGTATATAAACCGATGTATATTGTCATCATAATAACAAGATCAACACATTCCTTACATGGTATCAGAGCTATTCGATAACCCTATTTTTTATTTTCCTCTCTCAAGTCGCCGCCGGCTTCATCTCCTCCTTCTCGTCCTTCTCTCGACCTGTTCTATCTCACACAATCATGGCCAACAACAACAACAACACTGCAGAAATAATCGATGAGACACAACCATTGATGCACATCAACATGAGTAACATCACGAAACTAACCTCCACGAACTACATGACGTGGAGCATGCAAATCCATGCCTTGCTTGAAGGCTACAACCTCGGTGGGCACGTAGACGGGACAACTCCCGCACCAGAAGAAACAATCACCACCCATGGAGTGACGACAGTTAACCCTGACTTTAGCAAATGGCGTCGACAAGATCGTCTGCTCTACAGCGGGTCTCGTTGGTACCCTCTCCCCCTCCATTCAAGCGCTTGTCACAAATACCAAATCCTCTCATGACGTATGGAAGTCACTCAGCGCCACGTACGCAACTCCCAGTCGTGGTCACATTCAACAACTTCGTCTCCAACTGAAACACTTCACAAAAGGAGATAAAAGCATTGATGAGTACATGAGGGGTCTCACAACTCGATTCGATCAACTTGGACTACTAGGCAAGCCACTGGAGCATGAGGACAAGATCGAGTATATAATGATGGACTTCCTGAAGAGTACAAGTCGGTCACAGAGCAAATCGAGGGAAGAGACACAACTCCATCCATTGTTGAGATACATGAGAAGCTGATGAATAAAGAAGCCAAACTCCTTGCTGCTGCTACCCCACCCTTGAACCCGATTCCGATGACTGCTAACACCGCCTCTATCCGTCCGAAGCAACATCAGACGCAGCACAACAAAGCACACAGCTGGAATCCAAACTACAAGTCCAACACTTCCTCCTCGCAGAAACAAGATGGTCGTTTCACCAAAGGCTATCAAGGAAAATGTCAGATCTGTGTAAGTTCGAATTCCCTTTCGATCTAACGAACGGGAGAGATGGCTAACAAAAGTTCTACGTGTGTCCTCTTCTCTGAAACTCAGGAAGACTTCATACTTTGATGATGAGGAGAAAGAAGAAGAGGAAGAAGAAGAATCCATTATTTTGAATAGTGAATGAGATGTATGCTCATGGTAGGTAACCTAGTAAATGAGATGAAGCAAAATGTCTTGGATAATGAATGAATGGCTATTAAAAATAACTTATCATTACACTCCCATTATTGTTTTTTCTTGTCCGTGAACACCCAATCCTGTTAACTAATAAGGGTTGTATTGTCAAAATGGCTATTACGTTGTTTCTTCCACTCCTCCTTTGCCTTCTTGGGCATATAGTTGAACCACACACACGAATAAAAACATAACATTCAAGATCCAGACAAGAGAAAAGAAGAAGAAGGTGGGATTGCATGACACAAGTAAATAACACGAGACAGCAGTTGAGAGAGAAATAGAGTCTTGATCTTCTGATTGGTTTTAGAATACTCAACTATAGCCAACCTACCTGAATCAAACAAACAGACGCAATCAATGAAAAGGAGGTTTTTTCCACACATGTTTCTCAAAGAAAGAAAAAAAGGTAACGTACTAGTAACTGGACTTGCCAAATGCAGTTTGGAGAGAGATACCACAAGGCATCACAATTTCTGGGAGGACCTCAGTAACTGCAAATTTAAAGCCTTCCATAGAAGTTCCACTAAGTTTCAGAGCCTCGTCCAGAGCATGTTGTCCATTGAGATAAAGCAAAGCTGAGCTGCAAAAAACTCAAACAAGGCTTTAGTTAGCAGAGCTGATATAAATTAACCAGTGGGAGGAAGAAAACACACCCGTTCCCGAGAGGGGTACAACCGGATCCGGGGAAAACCCTACATAGCATCTCCTTGATATCATTCCGAGAGAGGGAAGTACCAAATCCTGTAACTTTCAACCTAAATATAGCAGGAGGAGATGGTATTATCAACATGACACACAGAAGATTCTCCAATAATAATTAAAAAAAAAAAAATAAGGATTTACTCGTGGGGTCGGTATTTATCAAAGGAATCGGTAGGAGAAAAGACATAATCAAGGCTATTGTCGTCAAAAGGGTAAGCCTTAATTTCCAAAACACGCCCTCCCATGTCACTTCCATCAAGCTTCAACGCCTCTGCTTCACATTCTCCATTAACATAGATTAAGGCGCATCTGTAAATAAATAAAAAAACACAAAGATTATTATTACAGACTAAGACCATGTTTATTGCAGGTCCCTTAAGCTGGGTCACTTAGAGCATCATTATCCCTAAACCCCTTAAAGGGTCTCTTAATTATTTTTTAATAGTTTTTAAAGTGTAAAAGTGAGTTAAGAGACTTAGAAAGAGATTTGAACATTTAGGTGGTTTATTGCAAGTCTCTTAATTATAGGTTCTTAAAACACATTCAACACTTCCCTATTTAGCAATTACACTTTTTGTTCTCTATCTAGCAATGTCAATGAACATGAGTGTGACATGCTTGAACAAACAAAAAAGTTTCTTATTTTTTTCTTACCTCAACAAGTCTGTTCCTGTTCGTTTGTCTTGCAGTGAGTGTCAAAGCGTCTTAGCGTCAGACCATCTGTCAATGTCTTCTTGTGGAGGTTTGGTAGCATCTTCTCCTTGAGCTCGTTCTTCATATAGTTGATGGCTGTGGAGTAATAGTGTCTGTTCAATCCATGAATCAAAGCCTGCATAGTAGTATAAGTATAAGAGACATCCAACTTCAAGAAAACAGGAAACCACGTTCGTTGCATGATGTGATCCATCACCTGGATCGATGGTTTGTTCAGGTTCCCTAGGTTGGACGTTGTCCGACGAGGTTCTTGCCCAAGCGCATAATGGTCTGCGGGTTTATCGAGCATAAAGCATCAATGGAACAGCTACAGCTCGCTGGTTCAAAGCTTCAAAACTCTACAAAAGCACACATATGTTCAAGAATGAATATGCATAGTCGAATCCAAACTATATATACAAATTCTACAATGGAAACCCGAATCCAAACTATATATACAAATTCTACTATGGAAACCTAATCAGAGAAAGGCAAGAAATAATAGTAGATTTGGTGTAAAAAAGAGTGAGACTTTAGTTATACCTTCCAGTTTGTTTAAGCATATTAGTCTGGAAAACATGATCAACGGCTTCAACACTAACATCAGTCCCACTCTGAGGCATGGCGAAAACATCCAAAAACTCTCCCAGCAAGTACCTTCACCATGATTCTCTGAATGTTATTTCTAGAGTATTTGAGTTGGTAATAATCAAGCCAGTTCTGCAGCTTCTTCTTCTTATCCACCAAATCAGCAAGCTTGCTTGCATTGCATACAACCTATATATTGAATTTTAAGATGTGAGCTTAATAATGCTTACATTGTCAAGCACAGCTCCTGGATTCATTCCAAATCTTTTAGCAATTGGGAAAATTCAATCAGGGCAGCTACAAAATTCAGGGTGAAGGAAAAAAATCATGAAATATAAACCACCTAATGAAGCTACAAGAACTGAACTATAAGATTTTCTCTAAGATGTCAAGGATACAAGGTTCCTTCAGTGTCAATGTAAGCCACTTTTCCACTTTATCACAAGCAACCTCCAATCCGTTTCCTGCACACACAAAAAAATGACAGCAGAATCTGTAAGTTGAAACATATTGAACGAACAAGTATACCAACAGAGTTTGCAAATTGCAATTCTTGTAGATTATTGTATTCAATGCCTTTGCTCTGAATATGAACAAAAGCAAACAAATTGTTTGGGAGAAATAGTAACTAGTATTAAGCATGGTTTTATAATGCAGAAAAAAAGAGAGATTAGATTACCATCAGGATCAAAGAAGGAAACTTGCTTGACTCTTTTCTATCAGGAAGAGACTTCTGGAAAGTTTCTATCCCTTTCTCCTAACATCATTCGTCAAAGAGAGAAATCAATTACAAAACAACACTGAAAGCATTGCAGAACACTAGATAAACCGTCGGATGATTCTTTGGCGGATGAAATCGACGACAGAGAAATATAACCGGCCGATATCAGCTTTCCTCTAATCGAAGACGACAAGATAGCCTCGACTTCTCCATGATCGTCGTCGAGAGTGAAGCGGAGAACGAGAGGGTTGAACCACCTCTCGTCTCTCTTTTCTCATTTTGCCTACACGTGTTCTCAAATACCGTCTCTTGTGTGTAGCCGAATAAGCGACGCCTCTTGTGTTTATTAGTATTTTTGATTTATTTTTAATACATAATTAACATAAGAAACCTCCTAAATACCAGCGATAATGGTGCTCTTAGCATACGGTCCCTTAACTTTTAAATCCCTTATATAAGAACGTCCCTTAGCGTTTTCAATTAAAAGCTAAGAGACTGTACGCTAAGGGACCCAAATTAAAGGACCTGCAATAAACATGCCCTAAACAGAAGTTTTTTTTTTTTTTTTCTTTAGTAGCGATCAAGCTGCAAGAGGAAGGAGTCACAAACCTGCAGTACTCTGTGGGAACAGAGACATGTATAAACTTTATTCCACGTGATGCCAAGTTTTTTTTCAGAGCCTCTTCGACAACCTCCCTTCCTAGGGAGGTGTCGTATCCCTCAACCACCATCCTGATAAAACTGTTTCAAAGGATATTTATTGGTTTATATAATTAACGTGACATGATCTATCTTATTAGAAAGAAAAGGAACCTGGAGCTAATTAGAATCTCTGAATCATGATCACAGTTCAATTCCAGACCCTAAGGTACAAAATATTTAATCAGAAAAATCCTACGAAAGAAGAAACAATTCATTGAGAAAGCGATAAAAGATTGAAGAAGAATTACTTTGTTTGCAGATACGTCCATGGCTTGACTGCTGCGCTAGGTTTTTCGAGAGAGGCGGGCGATGAAGATAATTTTGTAATTTTTGGTCTTTATAGAGTCTCCTCCTCGACCTTGTTTTTGGGCCGTAACTATCCTTCTCGTTGGGTCTGCAGTTTAGCTTAGGCCTGTACTAGGCCCATTTATCGATATCCTTCCTCCCAAGCATTAACTAAGTCTTTAGCGAGTAAAAAATCATATTGAGTTTGTAACAAGATCAATCTGGTTTGAAAGGTAAGTAGTAGTGTATTGTAGTCTTTTGTATGATGAAACATAACTACTTATGATCTAGCTATAATATGTAGCTTTTACTTTAGTCAATTCTTATTTATATACTCGATAATGATTTTGTTTAAGCTAGTATTTTGTAACATAGACTCTCAAGTACATTCAGTTCTGTTTTTATAATAAATGGTCAAATGTATGCCAGCCTTACCACATGATACATCATCATTCTTTTATTTTTGTCAATGATTACAGCTTGATCATTCTTCTTTTAAATAGTTTACCAAGATACAATCACTTGTTCTTTGATTCAAGAAGCGTTGACATTCAGAGTTTTGTCTGAAGCAAAATGGCGGTTTGGTTTCAAAGAATCTTCCTGTTGCTTCTCGTTTCTATTTGCGCCTCTTCAGGTACATTGGAACCTCTAATGCTTATGCACTATGCCTTGTATTGATTGACTTAAAGTTTGTGCATTTTGATATGCAGATTTTCTTGAAAATTCAGACTTTGAATCTCCACCATTAAACTTACCTTCAAACGCAAGCTCTAGCGATTTCGTGTTGCTGGATCAGAACACTACACTCCCTGGATGGACATTCCAAGGAACAATACAATATGTTACTTCAACTGACATGCCTGATTTCGGACACGCGGTTCAACTAGGTGAAGATGGCAAGATCAATCAAACATTCATTGCCAAAGGTGATGTTCTGAACTACATCCTCACATTTTCACTGATCCCCGGAGGCCAGAACTGTTCCAGCTCTGCTGGTCTCAGTGTCTCGGGACCAGACAGCAATGCTGTTTTTTCATACATGCATAAGTACAGTAAGGTTTCATGGCAGAGCTACAGTCATAACTTGGGTAAATGGGGTAATGGTGAGCCTATCAACCTAGTTCTTGAAAGCCAGATAACAGATTCTGAATCAAACTCCACATGTTGGCCTATTGTTGATACATTGCTCATCAAGACTGTTGGTGTAACACTGGATCAAGATAGTGGTAAGTTACTTCTCCTTGTTTGTTCTGTTTTTCTCTGCTTTCTCACGTCATCAAAATCAGAGACTGCTATAGTTGACTCACTGATTCTGATTTTGTCGGTGAAGGTAACCTCTTAACCAATGGTGGATTTGAATCTGGACCCGGTTTCTTACCCAACTCAGCCGAGGGAGTTCTGATTGACGCAGTACCAAGTCTGATCCAGTCAGCATTAACGCAGTGGTCTGTCATAGGAACAGTCAGATACATAGACTCGAAACACTTCCATGTCCCAGAAGGCAAAGCTGCGATAGAAATTCTGGCTGGCACAACTCCATCAGGCATACAGACAGCAGCAAGAGACACAAGTGAAGGTTCAAGATACAACCTCACATTTACATTAGGAGATGCCAACGATGCCTGCATAGGACATTTCATTGTAGGTGTTCAAGCTGGATCCGCAGCTCAAAACTTCACATTAGAGAGCAAAGGGACTGGCTCTGGTGAGAAGTTTGGGTTAGTGTTTAAAGCAGACGAAGCTGCAGCGCAGATAAGTTTCACGAGCTACTCAGTCACAGTGACAAAAGAGGATGTTCTTTGTGGACCTGTGATTGATGAAGTGAACGTACATCTTCTTGGTGGAACAGCCTCGGTGAAACCCACATGGCTGCTACTTGTTTTCGCTTTGTTGTATGTTGCAGTTCTCTGATTACATCTGTTTGGGAGAGATGAGAGATCATAAACACATTTTTTTGCAAGAAGTGTGAACACAATTGATTTATATCGTTTGGTACTCAAATGCATTCTTCATAGAAACAGTAGTTAACAATATTAGTAGAGAAAGATAATTTTTTCTTCACCGTCTTACATAAGCCCCAGACTAGGAGGAACCATAAGACCATGGTTAAGTCATTGGCTCGGGTGTAGACGAAGATTTGGTCGGTTTTCCCCTATGAACAGACCGTGGAACAAAGGTCAGCCCACGACCATGGCGTCTCCCAAAGCTGACATTCGACGGAGTTGTGTCTGAGGTGGTGAGTGTTGACAGTGCTGAGACAAGACCGTCAACGCTGGCTTTGTCCTCCACTTCCATGGCGTCTGAGGAACCTTCTTCTTTGTCTTCTTCATGCTTTAGCTTTGATACATGTTGCCTCTGAAGTTTTTCTCTTCGCTTCTTTGAGAGTTGAGTCCTCTTAAAGAATTCAAATGTCGTTGGGAACTTGTGTTTATCAACTAAGTGCCGATGCCTGGCTTTGTAGTTCTTGAACTTCAGTCCACACCCTTCCACAAGGCATTCGTACTGCAAAATTATGTTCATGACAGAACAAAAAAAAGAAAGATTCAGCATTGGATCTCAGGTTGAAGCTTAAAAAGATTCGTATAACGTAATGACACAGTCACCACTGTTCTAATCTAACCTCTACCTCAAAACGCTATTTGTAATCGCACTAGGTTATAAGAGTGAGAGATAAGACTATACCATGTCATAACCCCGAGCAACTTTAGCTTGAAAGAAAGAGTCATGTGCTTCGGATATATGGATACTTAGCAAGCGAGAAGTAGGGTAGACCCTCGAGCATACTGAACAAGACGCAGTGTGGCGTGCCTTATAGTGATCTTCAAAACTATCCAGAGAATTCAACCGCTCAGGGCAGCCAACAATGGGACACGAGATTCTTCTGCTCAAAACAATCAAATCTCATGACCATTGAGAATAATTGTAAATTAAAGATAGAACCGAAACTAATCTACATAAACTTGATCAGTGACAAAAAAAACCATTGAATAATCTAATCTGAAAATTATATTCTTCACATTACTAAACTATAAACAATCTACAGCCAACGAACTCATCAGTGAAGAATAGAATAGTAATTAAAAAATAACCTGCTTTCAGTTTCCACTATAATCTGCAGATTGTTGATCTCATCTTCTGTTAAGTCCAATGCCACCTGCATATTAAAATCCTCCTTAGAACTCTCAACTCTTGCGATCATATGCTATTTTTTTGTACATAACAAACAATCTACAACACAATACTTAGACAAAGGTTTTGTGATTCATCACATATTTTTCAGAGATTAATTACCCCCAAATTCGATCCCATAGACTACGAAATTAACAAGCCAATATATAAACAATCTCGACCTTAAAAAAATCTCAGAACCGTTTCAATTTTCAGCCAAGCTAATACGAAAACAAAAACAATCATCACAGTGAGCAAACGCTAAGCACAAGAAATCGAAAACTCTTCGATCAGAAAAGTTTGAGGCGATTCAGAAGTACCTGTTTAGCGAGTAGTTCGCGCTCGACATTTCCGGAAGCGAAGAAAGGAGAATCGGGAGGAAACCTTCGTCGGAGAGGGTTCCAGTAAGGGAAGTCTACAGTCATCTCCATAGCCATCGTCTCCTCCTCCGTTAGCTCTCCAATTAAAATTCAAACTAATTTCGTTTTCGTCGTTACACTAACATGCGCTTTTTTACTCGGGTCTGGTTTATAAACTGGATCCTTCCTAGAGTGGTATCGTATCCATTTATTTTTCGGCCCAACTCAGGCCCATTTAGAGAAAACATAGTACTGTAGTTTTTTTTTTTTTAACTCAAAGTAAATTTCATTAACTTGTTGCCCAAGACACAACTTAGAATCGATCCACTACAAACCACAACCACTCATAAACTCTTTCCCTCTGATCCTAGAAAGATCACAACAAAACAGAACAACCTCTAAAAACAAAGACCACTTAAAAAGAGGAATCTTAGAGGCAACGGCTTTCATTGACAAAGAACTCAAACAACCAATTGGGATGGCTGAGCGCCACATAAGATTGGTTTCTATTTTGACTTGACACACTTTGCGCGATGAATGACGCTCCTCTGTTTTCCTCTATCGCAACATGCTTGAACTTAAAATCCTTCATTCCTTGAAGCATCACATTCATCTCTTCCACCCGAAAACTCAAAGCAGGCCATTGATGTGGTTTTTGAAAGGCCAGAAATAATTCTTTGAAATCTCCCGCAAAGATTACTCTGTTGTACCGTAAGCTCGTTATACTCTCCAAAGCCCAAAGTAAAATCGTAAATCTTGCTTCAGAGAGATCACCAACCACCGAGAAGGCTCTTCTGCTATGAATTAACACCACCCCCCTGTGGTTACGAACGACCCACGCTCCTCCAAGCATCATTTTGGCCTTGTTCCAAACAAAAGCCACATTACACATCACCCACCCTTCCTCTGGTGGTAACCAACGTTTTCTACTCCTCTGAGTTTCCTCTTGCACTTCAGACTCCATTTCTTTATCCATTTCTTGGGACAGAAACCACAAACTTGCTTCCTCTTTTGCCTTAGAAACAATTTTCATTGGAGTCCATCTTAGACCGTTAAAATTGAAATCATTTTTACTCTTCCATAAGTACCACAGGAGCCAAGGCCACATTCTTTTATCTTCCGTAGATCCACGCGTCTGAGAATTCATCCCCATTAGGTAATTGAAGTTCGATAGCAGGAACCCATTCTGAAGATCAAATTTAGACTGAGGAATCCCTGACAGCGCCCACACGTGCCTTGCTGCTGCACATTGGAATAGGATGTGCTGAATAGTCTCGCCTTCCATACCACAAAGCTGACATCTTTCATCCATTTTTATACCCCTCTTTGACATGAGATCAGCCACTGGAAGCGCTTCACTCAACACTTTCCACATGAATATCCTGATTTTTGGAACCGTGGGAACCTTCCATACTTTCTCTTTAATTGGGTTTAAAGAGGGAAGAGCTCGAACATCCTTAAATTCTTCCTTGACAATCTCCTCTCTTACTAGCTTGTACGCTGAATTGACTGAAAACAGTCCGCTTCTGTTAAACTTCCACTTAAAAGTATCTTTTTTTGATACAATCGGTTGAGAAGCCATGATCAACCGTACATCACCAGGCACAAAAATTTTCTCCAGTTCCTCGGAATTCCATCTCCGCGTCTCGAAAACATAGTAGTAATTAATTTTTACTACTTGAATATAAATAAAATAAGAGTTAACAGTGAGGTGAAAACCTTCCATATCATTTATAACTTTGAAACAAAGTTCGCAGACCAAAGATTACATAACACATACCAAAATGTAGTGCTGGCCTTCGGGTTTTCGGTTCGAATTATTCGGTTTTCGAGTTATTTGGATTGAGATGTTTAGCCGTTTAGGAACCGGGAATTTTTTGTATCGGATAATGTCGGGTTCGTGTCGGTTTCTATTTTTTTTATAAAATCAAAAGTGGAACCGAATTAAAAATAGTTCGGTTTGGTTCAGATTTAAAGCCCAAAAACAAAAACCGAATTAAATCCGGAAAATATTTGGGTAATTCAGAATTTTGGATATTTTAAAAATATTTGATACCCGTTCGGTTTTCGTTTTGATCCTGATTTGGTTTCGATTTTTTGGATTTAAAAAATAGGAACCGTTCAAATTTTTGGATCGATTCCGGTTTGGTTTCGGTTTTTCGGGTTTAAAAAATAGGAACCATTCAGGTTTTTGTAATATTCGATCCGGTTTCGGTTCAGTTCTGGTTGATAAACTGCACAGGACTACCAAAGAGATTAGGATCTGGCGCAGTTAAAGGCATCACAGAAACATAACCTTAACCCCCTTGTACTTAACCAAAAATTTCTGCCAGCCAAGAAGGGAAGCTTGTGGCCACATACGATTGAGATAGATCCCAATGATATCTCCATTAGGCTTCTCCTTCCAGTGTAACTAACTATAAGCCGGGTTCATTGTGCTAAAACAACATCATATTTAATTTGGCTGGTCCAATGAATGGAGAAAAGTTTTGAAAACTCAAGTTCAATGAATCAAAAAGTTAAGACCCCTAAACATAGTATCGGCTTCTTTCTTTTTTTACACAATGCTTTAAAGGACATCTCCCATTGTTGATTTACTAAAATTTAATAAAGAACAAAAAAAGGTAATTAGTACAAGTTGTTATCTCCCCGTGAGAGTTTTCTTCCGACGCTTCACAATGATTAGCCTTTGCTTCCCTTTACCCTCCTTACCGAAAGCCTACACACACTCCTCTTCATTAGACTCGGATAAAGGACTTGTTGGCTCACCCAACAACTCCCGCACGCAGCCTTGCATGTTACGTTTTACCGAAACACACAGCCAGTCCTGTTTACAGACTCGGATAAGGGACTTGTCGGCTCACCCAACAACTCCCGCACGCAGCCTTTATGTGAAACAGTGTTTAGGAGGCGGAGGCTCAGGCTTGGAGGAACCGACTTGGGACCCTACACTTGTCTCACGGGCCTTTTCAGAGATCCCAACTGTACTAATTACCTTTAGAGCCTCCACTAGGATGACAAGCTTGCGTTACTAAGCTCGGCGACTAATCATCTATTTTCTTAGCTATATATGAAACTCTATTACTTCTGATTATTCCGATGTGGGAGTAAGTACTAATAAGATTAGTTAAATTTTTGGAAATAAAATTACGTAATATATTTAAATAGAGAATCTCAATATTTTCCTTCTTTACTTCTCAATTATTTATTTTTATTATTTTTTTTAAAAAAAGGAAAATCAACAAATAAAAATTAACAAACAACAAAAAATCGACACAGAATAAAAAGCATCTGTATCGGCAAAAGACAAAACCAAAGAATAAAGAAGCTAAGAGCATGATCATATACAATATAGTTACAAAACTAACAAACAAATCAGGTGCGAGTCTTGCCATAAAGATGAGTATAAACAGGCTTGGTACGACGCACGAAAATCAAACTCAAGATGCATGCAATGATACAGAAACCAGACATTATCAGTGACGTCAAGAAGTAACATATGTAACCATTGCATTTAAGGACATCATCAGGATTAAAAACTGACCCATGTGCTTGTCTCTCTGCTTCCATGTCGTATATAGTGCTTGCAATCATACCAGAGAAGACAAGGGACCCAGCTGGATTGGCTAGAGTCAAGAAGTTGTATAAATCTCCAAAGTTTTTTAGACCAAAGAGCTCAGGGAACCGGGAATTTTTTGTATAGGATCGGTTTGGATAATGTTGGATTCGTGTCGGTTTCTATTTTTTTATAAAACTCAAAGTGGAACCAAATTAAAAATAGTATGGATTTGGTTCAGGTTTAAAGTCCAAAAGCAAAAAAAAAGGAAGAACCAAAAAACCGAGTTAAACCCGGAAAGTATTTGGGTAATTCAGATTTTTGGATATTTTTTATTTTAAAATTATATTATATATATTAAAAGTAAAAATAATTAATATTTCTATTATATTTAAAATATTAGGTACCCGTTTGGTTCTCGATTCGATCTCAGTTTGGTTTCGGTTTTTTAGGTTTAGAAAAATAGAAATCGTTTAGATTTTTGTAATTTTCGATCCGGTTTTGGTATCGGTTTTTTCAGTTTCGTTCTGGTTCAGTTTTCAGATAAAATGCCTAGAACTACGAAAGAGATTAGGATCTGACGCAATTAAAGGCATCACAAAAACATAACCTTAACCCCTTGTACTTAACCAAAAAGTTCTGCCAGCCAAGAAGGTGACCACATGCGATTGAAATAGATACCAATAATATCTCCATTAGGCTTCTCCTTCCAGTTTAACTAACTATACGCCGGGTTCTTTGTGCTAAAACAACATCATATTTAATTTGGCTGGTCCAATGAAAGGAGAAAAGTTTTGAAAACTCAAGTTCAATGAATCAAAAAGTTAAGAGCCCTAAACATAGTATCGACTTCTTTCTTTATTTACACCTAAAGTATTTTTTTACACAATCCTTTAAAAGACATCTCCATTGTTGATTTACTTAAAATTTAATAAAGAACAAAAAAGGTAATTAGTACAGTTGTCATCTCTCCGTGAGAGTTTCCCGACACTTCACAATGATTAGCCTACTTCCCTAATCCTCCTTACCGAAAGCCTACACACACTCCTCTTTATTTAGAGACTCGGATAAGGGACTTGTTGGCTCATCCAACAACTCCCGCACGCAGCCTAAGTGATATGCTGTGTTATGCCAACAGTGTTACGAACCTGTTAGCATGTTCCCCTTTTCCGAAACTCACATGTGAAGATCAAATCGGATCTTCCTTGAATCTTGTAACCGTAAACCCGAACAACACAACAATCTGTTGACCCGGAGTTCACCGCACCAACACCGTTAACAAGATGTTGGCCGCTATATCTCTCCGGAGCTGGGATCGAACCAGCAACACTCTTAGCTACACAAGCGAGCTCCGTTACAAAAATGACCTAGCTCTCTCTCTATCTTGATTCTGAGACTGTAACAAACTTCTTCAGTTCATCAGAGTTGACAAGAATCCTAATCCTATTACTCTTATATACTCGAGTAAAACTAGCTAAACCAATACGTACACACACGCGTTCGGTTTACTAAAGAGAGAGCCTGGTTTAATGACTATTACAGACTTAACCGGACAATTACANAGTAAAACTAGCTAAA